ACAGTTTTTCCTCACACCTCCCCGCCGCTTGATAATGCAAATTGTATCTGATCAGAGACATTGATTCACACATCAGAATGAAAAATAAATGAGTAAAAACTGCAATATAAACAGCTAAACCACTCTAAGAAGCAAGTTCATATTTAGTCTTAATAAGGTTTAGCAGGTTTTACATGTAAGACCACATTAAGACATTTTATTTTTGATAGAGGACATTTTAATGTAAACAATAGAGTTTTTGAGATTTCCAAATGTTCACACATCAACTTGCACCTTTGGTTCTATTGCTCTTAAATGGCTCCTTATTACACTATTTTCTGATCTATATTATAAAGTTTCCTCATCAAAAACATACCTGGAGTTGTGTCTTGTTTCAGTCACACATAACACATACACTCTGCACATATAGGGTGGGTTCTTTTCTCAAACTCAAACAACCTGTTCCAGATATCATGTGGTAATACAGTTGCTCCATTGTGTTTTTAAACTCCATACACTGTCACTAGAATCATTTGGATAATTTCAGCCCTGAAACATCAGTCTTTACTAAACTAAAGGTTAAATGTTGCTGTTAACTTGAAACTACCCCTACATCACATTTTAGACAGACTAATAAAAAAGGATTACTCAAATGTGTGTGAATGAAACAAAACTCAACTCTAGGTATTTTTTTTAATGATGTGACAACATTATAACATGGCTTAAAGCCATGTTAAAGAGTCCATTTTGTGTAATATATGACCTTGTTTTCTCGCCATAGTTAACTGCACTATCCAATAAAGTTGTGTGTGTGTTTTATACATACAGTTTCACTCACTGTTGGCTGGAGGAGGTTCTCACTGCTCTTCCCTGAGCCCTGACGATATTGTTCTATCTTCTGTGTCCCAGGGCTGAAAGTGGCTCTTTGACTTCCCTGATAGCTTTTGACAGCTCGCTCTCATCCCGCTGGATCAATGGAGCTCAGTGCACTTCATTAGAAACATCAATGGAGCACACATTCCCACAGGCTGCATGGACACAATCAGGAATGGGCTACTACACATTTGTTGTTTTCCTTCTCCAGAATTTATCAATATTTCTGTTAATCTGACAAATTACACTCTTATTGCTCTCATGGAAACTTGTGGCAAAGCTAATTTATTAATAGGAGCCGACATGGATGTCTCAGAGGCCCATGTTCATTATATGTGCCTGGTACCCCCTCCTGCTGCTTTGAGATATCGGATCCAGGATATTGATTTTGTGTTAGGCCAAGCAATCTAATAAGACTATTTATTTGTTACTGATGGCTCAGAACATATCCTAATGTTTGAGTTGTACTTATTATTCGGCCAGTCATGATAACACATTTTGAAGCATGATCTATTTTTGAAGAAAATATAGACGATAAACGATAATACTGAAATGAATTTATACCACTGACACAAAAATCCTAAAGCAGGATTACTCACAAAAAATATTCTAAATATGTAATATGTAAAAAATAAAAATAAAAACATGAGCTACCTTAAAGAAACAGCAAAATTAAACACTTTAGTAGTGATTTAGTATCTATAAGGAGTCATAGAAGTTACTTATTCTACAGTTCAAATCTTATCACTGAACAGAAATGTCCCTTTTAGTCAAAAGGAAAAAGTACCACCAGATATAATATATAGTTCCATGTGTCATATACTGAACAATAAGTTGAAACAATAATTATCGTGACACGCATGCTTATTGTTTACAGTACAATTACCAGTATGCATTTCTAGTTCTTGCATAATAGTCACATAACATATTTGGGTCTGTTTTTGATTCATTATTGCTGTGAAAGTATACTTCTAGTCCATACACTGGTATCAGTTGATCAGATAATGACAAAATCTCTACTTTCCTGTGTTTGTCTTGGTCTCAAAAAACTAGACTAGACTAGGTTAGTTTATTTGTTATTTGTAATTAAAGAGTCAAACTGGAAAAAAAGGTGCAAAAAGCTCAAAGTGCACAATAGACAACAAATGACATTGTGAAATAAACAAGCTACAAAGATGAAGTAGCTACAATATTAAGGTGCTACATCAAAGCCCAAAGTGAATTGTCCAGACTTATAACAGCTTGTGGGATGAAACTGTTAGCATGGCAATAAGTCTTAGAAGACTTCTGCGTTATTAAGAAAATCCTTCGTTCTTTGACTAAAACTTGTGCTCATTAATTGTAGTGCCTTCTCACCTTCCGTTTCTTGCATTAATTTGCTTGAATTAATTCTTTTAGTGTAAACCCCCCCTTTAGCGATCTCTTTGCATTTGTGTCTCAGTGCTGGTCTGTCTAGTTGTAGTTTATATGTAAATGAAGCCTACTTGAATAGTTTGCGCTCTGAAGAAGTTTGCCATGTGTCGATGGAGGCTTGGCTCATTGTAAACATTGCGTCAGCGTTGGCTTGAAATGATGGCATCACACATATTAAATTTTGTTATGTGCAACAAAAAGAGAAAAACACAGTGGAGATGGGAAGCCACTGTGCTGTTGTCATGTTATTAGTACAAAGGGGACCAATGGCTGCTTTATTGGCTTCTCTGCTTTTCAATTGGCTCCTTGGCGATTTACACAGCTAATCAGTAGCGGGCTTCGAGCGAGACCCCAGCCCACCTGTTCAGTCACTATCCACACAGGCATGTATCACACAGCAGGCCTCTGTGTGTCTCTGTGGTCCCGTCATCAATAATGCATGGCTCTGAGGATGAAAGGCTGTTTTGGCTTCAGGCATGTGTCTTTTATAGAGCGAGAAAGACATCAGTGCAGCCACTTAGAAGTATGTATTTACAGACAAACGGAGCACTCCTTCATGCTTCAACACAATCATGTACACAAAGAAACATTGTTGTGTGGAAGGCTGAAGAGTGAGTGATTGGTGAATTGTAACTGAGATGTTTACAGCTGTAATTTTGCTACAGCAGGGCTGGATAATTAGTGAATCAATTGAATTAATAAATTGTAATATGTGTATTCTTTCTCTGCATTTAATAATAAAATAAATAAAACATTTAGAGATCGACAGATATGGATTTTTTCATTGACAATGGTGATACCTCTTATTTAGAATATAGAGAAACCAATAAACTCTCTGATATTATTTTTCACAAATTATGTAATTATGTACCCCCAAGCCCTTTTTTTCCACAAACCTATAAGAGAGCTGTGTAGTCACTTTTTGTGCAGCTATCTATAAATGTTAAAAGAAAGCTTTGTGTGTATTTTTAGGCAGCATATTGACCAAAACAAAATATTGGCATCAGGAGATTTAAGGGCAGTAGCCAATATGCTAAAAAGTCCAACTATCGGCCTAGTATATTGGTCTATCTGACATCACTGTAGTGTGTCACAATAAATTATTGTTGATTAATTTATGTACACCAAGGCATGTTATGGCTTTGAGCATAGTAATACTCAACTACTGATAATAATACTGTGTGTAACCAAAAACCAAAAACATTTACTGGGTAGTATCACAAATGAAATATGAAAACAAAATATTTTCCCATAATTCTTTTTGTTATTCTAGATTATGGTTAATACAGGAAAAGGTACAAAAGAACAGCTCAGGTAAGAAAAGATAAGACAACATGTTTTCTTTCTATAGTGAGGACATTTCAGATAAGTACTGATGCCCCCAAAAAGTGAACGTACTCAGTCCTAAAAGTATCACTCTCTTAAATCATTTGTTCATAGCCTATTCACGTCCTTTTTGTCTCTTAGCTCTATGCACACTTTTCTCAATCCATCCACCCAAGATGTGTTTGACACTCAAGTTTCTATTCGGCCTGAGGTGAAGTCTTAAAACAGTCTTTGGTTTGGGGCTGATTTGAGGAAAAACTTCAAGGCATTTCTGTACCCGTTCAAAGATGTAGTTCTGCAGTACAATCCCTTTTACCCATAATGTATGATGTAGAGTCTATGATGCAACTCTCCACCTCACACAGCCTGCCTGCCTAACAGATGAGAGAGATGCTAGCGCAGGATCAGCTGAGGAGGCAGAGGGCCTACATGCTAACTTCTGACTTTCAATTAATCCATAGCTCTACAATACAACTTAAGATCACAAAGATAGACTCACTACGCAATAGAGTTAAGGCACAGAGGTGGGAGATATCATATCATAAAATAAAAAAATAATATAATATGATTGCAATAGTTGTTATGGAGTTATTTTATACCCCATACCCAATATGTTTCTATTTATTTTATCTTTCAATATTGAAAAGCTGGAACAATATATTTTGGGGCTCAATATTTATCATGTGTTTCAATTTATTTGCAAAAATGTGGATATTTGGGGTACTCTTGTTAAAATAAAAATATGTATGAGCTGTACAAAGTTAATTATTGGTTTATTCTGTTTTACATGTTGCAGCTCAGGCCTTTTATTGATACTGTCTATTTAAAAATGGTTTACTGGGATTATACTTCTTTATTGTTATTGAGTCAGTTGGATAAAGTACTAGTATTTCAGTATTATTGTTTATCGTAATATCTCTCTGGAGCAATATATCATGTGTCAAAAGTTGTTATCATGACAGACCTAGTTCTGAAAAATTTTAATTTCGACTAGGCCTTTATTTACCTTTCTTTTTTTCTGTACCATTTTTTTCTGATAATAGTAATACAGTATACAGTAACCTCACAAACTTTGCAACACAGCTCTAAAAAGCTATTTGCACTAATGTGGATGTGGATTGTTTTCGTTTATCTTTTAATGCAGCCTCTACACAGCGAAACTCGGAAGTAAAAAATAAATGCCTCAACACTAGGCCATAGACTAACAGTGGCAAACCACTAATTGAGCAAAAACACGAACAGAAACTTGTGTTGCATGACAGCACAGGAGTTATTTAAACAGAACGCACATCTCATGACATGCTTTAATATTAATAACCATTATGCTTTATTCTGTATATACATAAGCCTTGCCACACCCCCTGGTTTCTATGTAGATAGCTTTGAGAATGTGTGAGTGCGTGTTTGCTGTAGTTGTGCCTTTGATGTTCACTCTTCATTCAGTCTTTTAGCCTCTGCTTCACGTCTGCTTTCCCTTTGAAGACCATGTAGAGATGATTATTAAAGGCGTCTGCTCTAAATGTATGGCTGAATATGGATATGGGTGGAACTGACATCAGCTGCAACCTCTCCCAGCGTTTGAGCGTTCATAGTGTTTGGCAGTGAGTTGATCCAGGAAATAAAATGAGCCGCTTCACAGGTAAATGCTGGTGGCTTGTTTACTCTTAGTCTTAGTGTTTTGTATTCATTCAGCATCATCCCTTCTGCTAAGCTGCCTTGGGCTTTTTCTCAAACACGTCATTTTAAAGTTCATCACTCCATTGAGGAAAACTTATAATTTTAATTTTTAAAGGCTGTACTGCATCATAAAAGTTTGCCTCACAGAAATCTATACCACCAAGATTTACTTGGTTTTGCTTAATACTTTCAATGATATGATGCCATATTTTTATTGAAGCTTTGCGTACTGTGATCTAGTTTTATACATAGGGTAAGGATTGAAATGTGTATTACTATGAGGAAGAAAAGAATACAGAGAACTAAAACAAAATATTGGCTTCTGGAGATTTAAGGGCAATAGCCAATACTCTACAAAGTCTAACTATCAGCCCAATATATTGGTCTGTGTCTAACATCGCTAGAGTGTGTCACAATAAATTACAGTTGATTAATTTATGTACATCAAGACATGTTATTATTTTGATCACATTTTTTGCTTAGAGCATAGTAGTACTGAAATAGTGATAATAATACTGTCTGTAAATTATTAGACAGGTTGTGTACCGGTACCAAAAATGTTTTCTGGGCAGCATTACAAATGAAATATGAAAAGAAAAATTGTTCCCATAATTATTATTTGTTATTCCAGATTATGGTTATTACAGGAAAAGGTACAAAAAGCACAGCTCAGATAAGATAAGACAACATGTATTCTTTCAGCAATGGGGACATTTCAGAAAAGTGCTTGTGCCCCCAAAAAGTAAACATTACCCATCTTAAAAGCATAATAGAATACAGAGAAACCGATGGCCAAAAAGCACCACTATGATTTTTGGGTCATTATGTTGTACTGATTTTGGTAAATTTCCCCAAATTACCTCATTTGAATTTTGCAAGAGAGCAGTGCAGTTACATTTTTGCAGTAGCCTCTTTGGACTAAAGTGAACAAATAAATCTTTATGCTTATATTCTTTATGCATATTTTGGGAGCTGGTTTGGGCTAACAAAATATCTGCCTGTGCTGGAGACTTAAGGCTAATAACCAATACGCCTGACATTTCAATCAACCGTGGCTCTTGTTGTGTCAAGATCCAAATCTCCCACATTGTATGAATGTGGTGTGTGAGTGTTAGTGGTGGTTAGGTGGTGCAGATGGTGACAGACTCTTCTGTCAGTCTACCCCAGGTCAAGAGTGAAAACTTTCTTTAGCTAAATGTTACAACAAAAAATGCCAAATATGTGAATGAATTAAACACAAGGAAATGTGTTATTATGTTTTCTGAATCTTGTCAGTTATTTTTTCATGGTAACTGCCACTACTAGACTGTATGCTTTTGATGTTGTGAATGTGGAGTGACTGTACTGTCTATTGTCTGTTGTCTTTTGTTGATTGTGTTTTTTTCCTGTTGCCTGTCTGACAAGAATTTCTCAATAAAGGACAGAATAAAGGCTAACATAGTCTATTACATTTCTCTCAAATTGTACACAGACAGACACACTGATCACAATAACTACTTAGGGATGTACCGATCTGTTACTGGTATCGGACATTAGCAGAGATACTGAAAAATTTGCTGGATCGGATATCGGCTTATACAGTTTGGACATCTAAATCACTGTAATAAGACTAGCTACTGGTCATAGTTGGCCCAGAAAGTCTAACAATATTAAAATTTTTATTTATACAAAGTTCTTGTGTAATTAGATGAGAGATAAATAACAGCTACAGACCACATATGGGTCAGTACTGTCTTATTTTATTTTTGTTTTAAGGAAATAAATGCTTTTTTCACTATCTGCTGTGGTACTGGTTAAAGCTATAGATTCGGTATCAGAACTGAAAAAACTGGATTATAATTATGACCTATAACTAATTCACCATTACTGTGCCTAATTTCTAAAACAATATTCTCGTGTTGATTTCATTGTCCACACTGCATTGGATGAGGTGGTGAGTCTCAAATGTCCTGTGGCCTTGTTGACCGGGCAGATTTGTGGTGAGATCAATCGGTCGATCAATGATTACAGCTGCAAAACTCTTTCATTTGGTTCACACCCTGGACATGGCTTCACTTTGCCTTTCCAAACAACATGCCCCCTCTTTCAAAGTTCACATATAGTTTATTTGCATGAACGCTTGATAGCCAGCTGATGCACTTTCTCTTAGCTGAAGTACTCCGCTGTTGTTTTCAACTTCACTGCTTCCTATGGGGGGGAGGTAAGGTCACCAAGGGTTCATTGAGAAGAAGGTAGGGTCTTTTGGGCTAGATTAACTGGATGCTATGTGCTTAGGAGTTTGTAGGCATTTTGATGTTAGCTAGTCTGAGGTTCTTTTGATAATCTTAAAGACAGCCATAACATCCTCTTTTATTACATTTGAATACATATTTTCTTCATCTTTTTAGGCATGGACATAACTGGAAGATTGTGACCGCCCTGATGTGAAAGCCTTTTTCTGTCAAGACTATGGTGAGTGACTCTGCTACCTCTATATTTGGCTTATACACAAATAGACTCCATTTATTTAGAGTGGTCGTATGGGAGACTGTTATACAATCCATTTAAAACTATATATAGGAACGTCCCAAGTCGTGTTTCGATTTTATCAGTCGTCCAACCTTAGTTGTTTTTGGCAACACTTTCTTTCCCAGTTAATGCCATATGGCCTTCTCTGTGGTAATGAGTGTCCTGACTACGGCCATCTGACCTATAATTATAAACAGGGCATGCCACTTTTGCCATATCAGTTCAAGTAATCTATTTTGACTTTATTAATAAGAAAATCCATAATTGTATGTAACTGTAGTGGCATAGATGTAACTCCACATCAGAGTTAAGTTGTATTTAAGGTCCTACATTACACAAAATTGACTCTTGTGAGCTTTAAATCATGTTATAATGTTATTACCTCCTCAAAAACATACCCGGAGTTGTGTTTTGTTTCATTCATACATATCGGTACTTTTCAAGTTAACAGCTACCTTTTTTCTTTTTGTTCTGTAGAGACTGACAATGCCAGGGTTGAAATTAGCCAAATGATTCTAGTGAAGGTGCATGGCATTTCAAAACATAATGGAGCACTTACTGTATTACCACATGACATCAGAAGGTGGAGTGTTTCTGTTTGAAAGAAGAACAAAATATTCAGGGTTTGTGTGTTAAACGTGTGTGAATGAAACAAAACACAAGTTTGAGTATGTTTTTGATGAGTAAACAACATTATAACATAGATCAAAAATCAGAATGAGGCTAACTTAGTTGGAACTATTACCAATGACAGTCATTTCCAAGCACATTACTATTGCATGCTTTTCTATTGACGGCATTTTAGTTTTTTTATTGACGCAGTGTTGACTCTTCTTGAACAGGTGTAAAGCTGAAAAGGATATGAGCCAATGTGTGGTTGTGCTTTTGATGTGACTATGTAGTTTCCTGTTTGCTTTCTCTATAACTGCCACTTCAACTGCAGTGTCTAATCATCGAACACATGTAACCTTTTAACATTCATCAATTAGTATTTAGTGATAATATGACTTAAAAATGCTCATTATATTCAATTTGTTTAGTTTTGTTTAGAAAACTTTACTTACCTGTAAAGGGAAATTCTGTTTGCAATCACAAATTGCAGCATTAAAGCCCACACACATAGAGTAGTTCACGCAGGTCAGGCGCTCATACAGTATGGACATCAGAGCTGAATGCAAATGAGGCATAAAGTGCAAAAGCTAGATACAAAATAGAACACCAACCTTAAACACAATATAAAAGTTAAAAAGCACACTTGGCAACATTTATTACACCTCTGTTTTAGTAGTTGAATGGCAAATGAAATAAAGGAAGTAACAAATCTAGACTACAGGGGCACACACTCGGAGTGCCCCGTTTGTATGTTATACTAGTATAGAATTTTTTCCCTTTTTACTATAATCCCACTATTGCCACACTTTTATGCTTCAACTGGTGCTACATTCTCAACAAGTGTCAGTGGCTAACTTGTGTGTAGTGATCATTTTTAGATACAGATAGAAATCAGTGCATTAGTATTATAAAATGCAGTGATCAATAATATTGTCTTGAGATATTTTCGGAGAATGTATGTGGTTTATTATATGCTTCAAAATAAATATTCAGTGTTCATTGCACATTAAAACAGTTACTGCATCTTTGTCCCATCATGCCGACAGACAGCTCCCTCTGCCCATATGCCAGTTTACTATGGGGCTTTACTGTAATACTGTGTGTGGTGGGGGTCACTGCTCTTTGCTTTAATAACAGCAGGATTACCCGAGGTCGACGCCGCTAACCCTGCTTTCTCCTCTGGTGCTTTCAACCACACGACTCCCACTCAGTTTCTCCTGCTGTCTCCACTTTCCCAGATATTTCTAAGCATCTCCTTGAGAAGTCTCACAATCCCAGGTCTTAGGACTTGTCTGCTTCACCCTTTCTTCTTCATCCATGGGTATTTAAATCCCCTTTCTATTGACATGCGTCTCTGTATTGATCCACACTTGTTTGCATTGAGATGGGCTGTGACAGGGACTGAAGGCTCTGCTGCTATCCACCCAGTGTAGTTTTATTTTTTTATATGTAGGGGTAAGTTAAGTTTGGTTATGTAAGCTGGTCTTATGGGGATGGAGAGGGGGGTTCACTTGGGGATGCTGGCTCAGGTGGGGAGATAGAAGCTATTTTGGCTCCACAGCACTTCTCGCTGCCAAACACATGAGGTATTTACACAGAGTGGTCGCAGAGTGGCCAGTTTCAAAGAATATCTTGCAAATATTACTAATATTGCTGTGTGTTATTGGAAAACGAGGGCAAATGTAATAAATGTTGAATGATCCCACCACCAAAAATGTTTGATAGGGATGGGGTGAGATATCAAACTGGCTTCACAAGAGCAAGACCTGATGAGATTTTGACATAGTTTATAAATAATACATTTTGCGGTTCAGGTTGCAATTTTGGCCACACACTTTTTGATTTATTTGATATTTTTTGCTGTCAAACCAGCATTAGCCCTTCTTTTTGTCCAAGCCAAATGTAAATATATAGAACAAAAAAATCCCACAAGATAATTTTCCTTTTGCGTGCACTATTTATTAATCAATCAAACAAACTTTATTTATAAAACACTCTTTATACACAGCATGCAACCTAAATAGCTCTACAAAGACAATAAAATCATTCCCGGCAACCGACCCGCAGTCTACAGAGTCACATGCACACCCCTCCACCCCACACACTCTCGCACACTTTCACTCGCACACACAACTAATGGACATTAAGTTGAGCACATTAAGCTGAGTACAGATGAACCAGTTGAGAAAGCACCATTAGAGGAGCTGTCAGGACACAGACACAGATGAGAGATGAGACAGAGACACAAGTTTTATCTTCTTGTTGCAGGAGATCTTGTTCATCCTTAAATTGTTTGGAAAACTGTGTCAGACTATTGCTAAAACCGTAAGTTACAGTAATATGAGAGTATTCATTGTAGAAACCTTATGAATTTATTCTTTGTCTTACAGAGCATGGATCAGACCTGTCTCCTGCCCCCTGTGCCTTTTGTGATCACATCCAAATCCCAAAGTGTTTGATGAGTCTGAGCCAACAAGGCAGCCATGTTGTCCGGTACGTGGCGGCGTTCTGTGGGATCTCAGCAGTCCGGCCCAGTCACCGCGGGCAACACCCGGGGCCTGACTGTGTGTGGGGTCACCAGCGGGACAGTGGTGCTCGAGGCCCAGTATGACTATAACTACCGCGCAGCAGACGGCAGGCAGGTGTCCATCAGGGAGGGGGAACGCTTCATTCTCCTCAAGAAGACCAATGCAGACTGGTGGCAGGTGAGGGATGGCAGGGGTTGTGAAATTTGTGGTGTGTTTAATTTATCTAAGAAATCATAACTTGTTCTCCATATAAATTATGCAAACAATTGGACTAATAAATCATTAAATAAATTTATAGAAAGTCAGTTATAATTGTTAGTATTGTTAGCTAGTAATTGTTGTAGGATAGGAATTTCATTTTATTATTTGACACTACTTAATGCTGCCCCCCGCGTTAAGTCGTATGTTTTGTTGTTTACTACACCATTCTAATCTGTTGGTCACTCGATTAGGTTGAGCAGCTTTACAGAAAAGTAAACCATGTAAAAGCAGCAATGAGAACATTTTAGTGACATAACTGTCTGCATATTTGTGCAACATTTAATTTGGTCATGGTGTGTAAAACAACATCATGAGAATCCTTAAGAAACCATAAATAAATTAACCATTGGGCATTCATTTGAGGTTTGGAATCTCAACTGAACCGAAATGCAATTTGAAAGGACATATTTAACAAATTGGAATTTTTAAAGTACCATCCTGCATAAAAAACTGTTAACCCTGTAGTTTCCAGAATGTGATTTTTGTATTAGTTTGTCAGGTTATAGGTCAGTCTTTTTATCAGTTCTTCTGGAAGTATTTAAAATGTGTAAACACAATCGTTAAAAAATAATTTGCAAAATTAAATTAAAAATCCCAATAAGATATTTTTACCATATTTTCCAGCCCAAATGCAAATTATGTATACTCCGATCTTCTTGTACATATAATTAGATTCGTTTTAGTAGTATCAGTATATGCCAGATGACTACTCAGTGAAATGAGCTGCTTAATTATCCAGCTCTGGCTCTCTCCACTTGTGTGTATTTTTTTATTTAACAAAGTCGTCTGAAAATATGTTTGTTTTTTGACAGGTGCGGCGAATTGGCGCGGCCAGTAAGACAAAGCCTTTGTACGTCCCTGCCACCTATGTGACAGAGGTGCCTATTCAGCCCATGCCCTCATCCCAGCGCTTGGTCACATCAACTTCACTCAACTCCAACTTCCGGACACTACCACGAGTCGCTCTCACGCCAAGCCCCACTCATTCAGTATACAGTGAAAGGAAAGGTACAGAAAAAGAACAAGATCTGACCAACTTTTCTGACAAATTTGGGTCAAAAGGGGATAAAAGATCTAAGTTTATTACACAGCCAGAAGCAGTTTAGAGTGCATTTTGGGATTGCTCAGTTTCTATTGTTTTTTTCTGTTTGTAAATCTTGGCACCGACAGGACAATTGGCAAATGTGTGTGCCAACCAGACTTATTAAACTAGGAATTATGCTATGATTTCTGAAGAAACTTACATTGACAAACCATCTGTGCTTTTTCACATTTACAATATATTTAATGATGCTTCTCATATCAAGCAGCAAACTTTTAATAATTATGAGTATGATAGATTTAGTAAAATCAATTTCCTATTAATATGCACATCACCTACAAGAGAAGTATAAAAATCTATACATAAAATGTTTAAAGGTCCTATATTACACAAAATTTACTTTTGTGATCTTTAAGCCATGTTAAACGTTGTTACTTCATCAAAAACATACCTGGAGTTGTGTTTTGTTTCATTTACACATTTACACACAAGTAACCATTTATCTCCATCTACATCAGAGTTCAAAATGTTCTGGTCTGTTCTACCTTGTGATGTCATGCAGCTTTCAAGTTACCTTTTACCTTTAGTTTAGCCAAGATTGGCAATTCCAGGTCTGAAATTATCCAAATGGTTCATGTTAAGGTCTATACAGTATAAAACACAGTGGAACACTTCTGTATCACATGACATCACAAGCTGGGACAGAGTGTTTTCGATTTGTGACAAGAACTCTAAATTAATATGTAGGATTTGTGTGTTAAACATGTGTGGATGAAACTCAACACAACTCCAGGCATGTTTTTGATGAGGAAACAACATTATAACATAGATCAGGAAATTGTGTAATGTGAGCCTTTTAAGCATTTTATTAAGTAGGTAATAAATTCCATTATTTAAATTTACTTTCTAGTAATAGTAATAGTTTTACCATAATATTGATTACTTATTCTGTCCATAGTGATGCATAAGCCTATCTACCGCTCCATGGACAACCTCAACTCAAGCAGTGCCTACCAAGGAGCGGGCAGCAGCGCCAGTGGTCATGTACCTACTCTGCCCCTGTCCGGATTCACCTTCACCCCAAACACATGCACATCTTCATCAGGTCACCTCATGGTCCCCAAATCTCCCTCTTTGTCCACTTTTAAACCTGTCTCATCAAACTCCAGGGTGATTCCTACCATTACCCGCAGCCAGAGCTCCAGCAATCTGCCTGAAAATGTAACAGAGAACCCCTATGATGAGGTGGGAGGAGGCACCAGTACCAGAGTGAACTGCAAGTCCCCCAAAAAGTCATGTAGTCAGTGGGACGTCATGGGAAACTCAAGGAAGAAGACACATCTACAGGTAGGAGAGAGGTGAAAGTGGTGTTGCTTTCCACTAACGCCATTCACAACTCATTTTCTTACCTATGTTACATGATTTTCTGATCTATGTTATAATCATAATTAATTCTTTGTCAAAAACATACCTGGAATTGTTATTTGTTTCTTCACACATGTTTAACACACAAACCCTGCATATTTAGGCTTAAGAGTTCTTCTCTTAAACATTAAACATTAAACTAGAGCCCAACCGATATGGATTTTGTTGTGGCCTATATGATACCGATATAATCAGAGTTGGTGCTGCCGATATATTTAGTGAGGTAAAAATTCACTGTAAATCTTGAAATATTTTTTAAAAAACTTAGGTTTGGCTCTGGTGGATTTTAAACTGGGTTTATTTAGGCAACATTTATTGTTATTCTGCCTCTTTGCATAGGACTAAAGCAGGTCTAAGGCAGGTCTAAAGCAGGTCTAAAGCAGGACTAAACTAGAACTGAACCAGGACTGAAAAAGGACTAAACCAGGTCTAAAACAGATCTAAACCATGTGTAAAACAGGACTAAACCAGAACTGAACCAGGACTGAGTGTCGGGACTCAGTCTCTGTCTCTCTCCCTCTCTCGAGCCCAAGATTAGTCCTGATTTATTTATTTTATGCTGAATATATTTATGCACGTTTTTCTATCCTATGCACACGCATATTTATGAAAGTTTCGTTTTTAGCCGCTGCCGCTGTCAAACTACCAAGAGTCTGCACGCGACGTGAAGAGAAAAGAAGTGAGAGAAAGAGAAAACACGACTCCCAATAAGGAGCAGGCTCCCGTCGTTCGCTTCTAAGAGCCGGATCTAAGAGCCGCTTCGTTCGCGACCGACCCATAACTACTAGCGAGTAAATAAACAATCGCTATTAGCCTTTAGCTGTAAATGCTGCGTGCAGCGGTAATTAATTATATGCGCAAGTATCATCATTCACACGTCTATTCACAGCTCATTTACATATCAATGCTGGTCCAGTAACAAATATACGGCCAATATAGTGACTTTACAATAGACCAATAGAAAACAGTCTGTTTATGTGCCGGAGCTACAGCAGCTAATCGCTAACCTATCAGAACGAACCAAAACTAGCTTCAGAGTCGACATATTATCAACACTCAGCGCTCACACAGGCTCCTCCTCACATTACAAGTTTGCACTAATAAATGTCCTTTTAATCCAGACTCAAACCGATTGTCCGTAAAAAGAATATAATCTCAGTGTTGCACATGGATCTATGTCTGCGGGTGTAAACAAACACATGCGACTCTGGGGGTGTGTTCAGGGACAGTATGGACACACACACAGACAAATGACTCCACAGATAAATACTGATGCAGAGCCACATATTAGTACATTTATCTGTCTGTAAATTGGATTAAATGAACATAATGTAGAGAGTCTAAGCTTTATAACGAGGTATAATATGCCCACAAATATCAGCCCCTATCAGCAGGCATATCGGCCGATAGCCGATAATATCGGCCAACCGATATATCTGTTGGGCTCTACATTAAACATTATAAGGTGAAACTGAGCATTTTGAGCTTTAAAGATGCAGACAGTCTAATAATGCGGGCTTACTCAAACTCCAGGTATGTTTTTGAGAGCTAACAACATTATAACATGGCTTAAAGCTAACAAGAGTAAATTATGTATAATATAGAACTTTTAAGCACTTTGTGTTTGAATGCTGCAGTGGGGGCAAATTTGAACACAATCTGGATTTCCCTATTTATTGAACAGAAGTTAGCCCAGTTGTTTCAAATCAAATGAAATATTTCCACCCTAAAAAACAAATACATGGCAGCAGCAGGGCAAAAGTTCATCAAATTAGTCAATGCTTCTAATAAATCTGCAATAAGAAAACAAACAGTATCTTTAGACTTAGACTAATTTTATTGACCCACAAGGGAAATTATTTGGACACAGTAGCTCATGCATCACAATATATTATAGTAACAAAAAGCAAATATATATATGGCAATAATAGATTCAATATAAGTAACAAAAATAACAAGAGACTCTGTCAAATAAAATATAATTATATAAATGCATGTACAAGTAAGAATAAAAAGAAATATAAATACATAGTAATACAAACTCTCATGTATTTGTCATTATTAAGACTCAGTAATGATATATGTGAACCACAAAGTAACCACCACCAATGTATTTGTATAATATTGCTTTAAAACCTAATGCTGCCACAGCATCTGAGGCGGTATTCCATCGACACAGTATCTTGACCTCAATAATCCTCCTAGAGCACCAATCTAGTCAGCAGTGGCATGATGTCAGAGCTGCCCTGCATTACATCAGACCAGATTACAGAAGACATTGTTGGTGAGAGAAATAATCAAGGTTATCTGTCTCAGCTCAGAAAAAATCTGCGTATCCAAAGTGTCTTTTTACCATGGCCTGAATCATGCATGAGGCAGCTGTGATCTGTGAGGGCACTGCAGTACTTGTATATGCTCCACTTTCTCTTTTCCTTTCCTTTCTGTGGCTCTGTCCTGCTGTACAACGCTCCCCTGCTCTCATGGTTTAAAGCCAGTAAGAAGGATTATTGCAGTCACATTCAGGTCACAATTCCCTTTTCCAATGAAAAACGTGTTTTTAATATATTTCAATCTCTGTTGCTCCTACACAGTCATACCATATAATAAATTAAGTATCCCTGTAAACAGCAGGCATGATTATCTAAATACACACTATAATTCTAGCAAAAGAATGACTTAAATAGTTTTACCAATTATTTTTGTATTTAGTCTGTTCACTACAGACATTTTAAACACTATATGTAGTTGCTTAATTTCATCATGTTGTGGCATTGTGTCAGTAGCTGCAGAGAGTTGCGCGGCCAACTGTGAATAAGCTCTGATCTCTGAATCTCTGATGAAGATGAGGATATGAGCATTACCGAATGAGAATGTGTGAAACTATAATATACACACATAATAGTCAAATGCCATAATATAATAATAATAATAATAATAATAATAATAATAATAATAATAATAATAATAATGTAACAAAATGCTCTGGTATTTGAAAGAAATGTTGCTTAATGCTAAAGAGACAAGATACTGAATATCTACAGTAATTGGAAATGGGATTCCTCCAGGTGAGTGCAAGGCTCAGTGCTGCCCCCTGGAGTAAACTATGACAGTGTAACAGAGACCAATTGTACAGGTCCAAACACGTGCCTAATTATTATCCCTTAGACATGACCGGGTTTATGTAACAGGGATCATGCTGCCAGTCCCCGCTGTTTGTTCTCTTACGCAAACCACTGTAAATAATTGATCAAAGGTATTGAATGTCCTTCATGTGCTTCGTTGTGTCAGCTATATATTAATACAATCATTTATTCAATATGCTGTATGTGTACAATCCAGCTCTATGGAAAAGAGACTACTAGAATAAGGCAGTGCAATGACTCTCCTGAGCTTTTAAATTTAGCATGCAAAAAGAATCTATTTAAAATACCTTTGTTTTAAAAGGTCTTACCATGTAAATTTATTCATAGTCCATTCCTTGTCTTTATTGGACATAAACAGTCAAATAAAATATATTGTTCTACTTCTTCATTGTTATAACTGATCCTTGTTTCTCTTGTGTCAGGTCCCTCAAGAGTCATACCTGTCTCAGCTCTCGTGGCAGGTGTCTCCTCTGTACATGGACCCTCAGACAGAGAAGCGGTCTTTCCAGCAGGAGCCCCCCAGTCCTGCCTCGGGACAGCAGCCTCTGCAGACCCTGGATCTGTGGGAGCAGTACACAGACCCCGCCTCGGGCCGCTGGTACTACGTCAACAGTGTCACTAAGGAGAGGTCGTGGAAGCCCCCGCGAAGGGCCCGCAGTCACACAGCCAGCTCCGGGACCAAGGCGAGCTACACCAAGGTGAGCAATGAGCAGTAGTGGTGGAAGAAGTAGACGTTTTGTTACTTTAGTAAAAGTACAGGTACCAAGAGCAAAAAAATCTGTTAAAAATAAGTTTCGTAAAGAGTAAAAAGTAAAAATATTTCTTGCAGAGTTTGAGATCTATAATATAGCTTCAAAAGCATTGATTTTGATACAAATTAGTTCTGAATTTTGTTCAACTGAAACAATTGAGTATAGTTTTTCCATTTTTATTTTTTGTTTTTACTTTTTTGCTCAAGCTACAATGTTTTGTTTGCTCAAACTACTCTAAACTACTACTACTAAAAGTAAACCCATCAGGCTTTTCAGCATGTCTCTTAAAATCTATGTAAGTAAAGTACAGACACCTAAAAAAGTATATTACTTTACCTTCTTTACTTCATTACATTCCACTACTGGCAATGGGGCAGGAGAAGAAGTTCTGTTTATCTTAAAAGGTTAAAGTGTGAAAAATTTCTCTCTACTACTGCTGTTAATTGAGTGCACTTGTTAAGTCAATCCACAAGGAGTCATGTTTGTCCCAATCTTAGGACCAAAAGTGGTGAGGCAGGGCATCTGGTGTGAAGGCCAAAAATGAGCACCATGCATATGTTTCTGTTTCAGCCCACTGTGGTTCAAGCTCAAACGTTACCCAGAGACACCAGCCATCTGACTCTGACACTTCCTGCTACGAGTAATGGGACCATGTACAGGGTAAGGAACGAAAGACTGACAGCTCCTTTTATTGAGTCTAACTTGAATAGTCATTTGCTGCTGTGGTTTTCTCCACCCTCATTTGCAAAGCCACAAACAGGAACAGGGGCAGTTGTCGTCTGTTTTCTCTAATTGCTGTTTAACAGTGATAGTAAGATTATTAAAGTGGCTGCTCTTCTGATATAAAACCCCCAAAACCACAAAAGTATGTCACCTGACCACTAATCCCTGTTGTTTGGTGTTTTCAGGAAGATTTGTAAAACAATAAAATCCAAACAACAGATTCAATCAAACATTCACTCATTTCACTGCATATTATTCTATCAGCTAGCGCTGATGCCGTTACGCAGAGGCCAACAGGACAATAAGTATTAACTCCAACTGTCCATTATAACCATCACATTTAAGTTAGATAATGATAAACATGATCAAACATGATCAACCTATGTTATAACATTTATAAAAACATAAAATATAACAACAGCTATTGGAGCCCATATTTGCTCCAATAACTAGTACTTTTATTATTCACTCCCAGAAGAGGTCATACAGTAACTGGAAAATATTTAATGGTGAAGTTGAATGTGTGTTACACATAGCTCCAGTTGTATTGAATTTCATGTAACTTTTTGTCTTTAAAATTTGAAAATTATATTTCAGTGATTTCTACATTTCCTACTTCCACTTTATTAAACTACTCAACTTAAATGTGCTAACATCACAGTTACACTTCGAAACTTTCCTTCATTTTGTAAACTTTTAGTAGTAGAGGGGAGATTTTCCTGTTGACTATAAAGGTTATGATGAAAAGTGTTTCTGCAATACAGGAATGACTAAAATGGATGCATCCATAGAATGAGTGACGACACAGACACTGCACCGTGAGCTGTGTGATCCAGATTGTGGAAGATAAGCATTTTGCATCTGAAAGTAGGCTTGCCTCATCCTTGCGTCAGTGTTTCAAATTTAATGTAGCTCATCAAAAAATACGCTCCTGATCAAAGAAGTGATTCCCCCATCAGGTTAGAGTGAGGCACACACTGGTGACCTATATGTGCCACCTTCAGTTCAACTCAGAGGTCCTTTCATACAGAAATTATGCAGTGGCAACCTATGCATAGTGTGTCATACTGATGCTGAACCAGGGCTTATGGTGTGATTTATAGGCCTATAGTAGCACAGATCTTTGTACAAGTTTTTAGTGACTATATTGTATTTCACCTTTATGTAGTTAAATATTTTATTATTTAATATAGTGTATATATAGTTTACCATGAGTTAGTTTACTTATGATATACCAGTGACCTGCTTTGAGGACAATCGCTATGGAAATTAACAATTCAAAAACAAATATTACCTCTTTTGAATGGTGAATGACGTCAAAATCAGGAAGATGAAGCCTGTGAATATCACCAACTAAAAATTATAGTGTGAAGAATTTACTAAATTTGCATGTAAAATTTGGTCTTCTTAATAATGTAATTTAAACCAAAGAGTCCTATACTGTTCAGTGAGGAAGGTCCAAACCTCCAGTATTAAAACTGCCATAATTTATTTTGTAAATTAGAAGGCATAACTAGAGAATTAGATCTGATCTGTAAAAAATAAAAATCTAGAAGAATGAAGTGCTTTATAATTGAGCATTATGTTTTTTTACTTGAACAAAGACAATGTCAGTGTGATTGTCAGTGTCAGTTGATGCGTCAGTAGGAGGCACAAATGCTTCTAAAGCTTTGAGCATAATTGAGCTTAGCATTTCCTGGTTGAACTGTTCTGCACGAGGCCAATGGTGTGGGCTGATAAACCTGCTTCCCTCTTGAATGGGGAAGTATGTGCGGAGTAGCAGGAGGGAGAAATGTTATGGTTTTGACTGTCACACAGTCATGACATGCAAAACAGAGCAGAACTTCATCTGAACTTCATCTCATTGTAACAAGTTGGATTGTTGTATTCAAGTCTTCAGTCGTGAACACCTTTGTTGTAAGTAGATTTTAAATGTATTTGATGGTTCCTTTATACAAGTGACTGGTGAGCTTGTTACTGATGTGACCTAGTTCAAAAGCTTCAAAACTGTAAGAATCAAAAGAGTGGTATGCTGTGAATATTTTAGCTGCTTCAACCAGCAGGGTGAAAGAGCTGGCCGCTTTCCTCCAAACTTTGGGGAAAATATGAAATATGCAGTTGTGCATATGCTGCACTGATGATTCACAGTTTTTTTTCTGACAGGATGTATATGAGCTGGTGTGAGGGTTAGCTGGCCCTTATGAATGTACTAACATCCTGTTTGTGAAAAATTGGTTATAGGTTACGTTTAAAATGTGCTATAATTGTTCATGTGACTTTTTGTTTTTTTGTCTTTCCTTGTAGCTGTCACCTGACTACAGCTTTGGGACCCAGGACAAAAACACTGACAGTGGCTGGGACATCTCACAGGTGAGTAACACGTCCACTATAAAGCAGTTTTTAAACATTAGGAATTGGTTCATAAGTTATTTCCAAACTTTAGTTTAGTTGCAACAGTAACACATTATTGCTGTTTAAAATGTACAGCCACACAAAAATTCAAACCTGTAAAACTTTTGTCAGTGAATTATTGTAAATAAAATTGAGTTGAGAGTTGAGTATTGCAATGACATACATATTTTTAACGCTTTGTTCATTATTTCATCATACCTTTTACCCCCCAACTTCAATGCACAATTTGCATTATATGATACTGTTTTGCTTGAATAGGAGATAGGTCTGTACTGTGTCAGCACTATCTGCTCTTTGGAAATGAGGGATTCTCCTCTTAAAATCAGTGAGTTGGAGTTAGATTTGCAAAAACTGCATCTGCGCAGTCTCACAGTAGAATGCATTAACTTAATGCTAGCTATGCGCTTCACATTCCCAGTGATCAGCATTTATGCATATTAAGTTGGTGAAATAACAACTCATCGTGTAAAAATAAAGGCTATTACCCAAGCAGTTTTTACTGCAACATGTTGCATCACAGTGGGGTGTGGGTGCTCGCCTTTTAAAGACCTTTTAAAGGCCTGCTCTTAGCATAGGAGCAGATTTGGCACTCAGTACAAATCCTCTGTCCATGAAGAGATGGCAAACATTAGGGGGGATGTTTAATCTGATTGCTGAAACTGGGTTAGATGGATTTACAAAGGTATTCAATTATGAATGCTGCTGTGGCAAAGTCAAGTGAATATGGGCCTTATGTGTTAAGATAAATATTGAGATGCATAACTTCTCCAGTGTTGATGGTCAAACATCATCCAACTGTTTGGTTTTATGATTTCAGTTAGTCAAAGTACCACTCACATTCATGGTAAATGTGAACTGAATGTACTGTATGTCTTAATGACATTTAGTTTTGTGCCTGCCCTCTGAACATTCACCTGAACATATGTTTTAACCCGTGAAGAGCCTGCCCCGAGCCGCCTCCTCAGACAACCTCAATAGCATGATGTACATCAACTCTCAAAGTCAAAACTATAATGAGTCCAGGCAGCAGCTCAGCCATTCCCAGTCTCTCATCCTCCCTGAGAATGGCAAGGTACAGATGCATTTCCACACATTTATACAGCTCTAACTACTGAACAGCTGCTAAAGCGAACTGTCTTTCCTCAGCTCATTCAGCAGTGCAATGACTACTCATGTAACATGACCAACATTGTAGTGGAGCCCCCCTCTCCAGCCAGCTCCCCAGACAGTGATAACTGCACACCGGTAAGACCCTAAGAATAACAGCTGGGCTGTTGTAAATTACCAGTAGTTAATAACATTAAGCAAAACTTTTTTTTCACTCTCTCTCTTTTTCCAATGTAGTAATCACTTTATTTTCTGCTTACCAAGACATTTGATGTCACACTTACTTTATACACTATAGTTTGAGAAACTATGTTTGGCAGTTACATATTCTTGTTGAACATGTTTGCTTAGTTTGATAGAAGATGCAAGTCAACCATGTGAAAAATGGATTGTTTGGTTACACAGGTTTTACAGGGAAGTGGGCTGCTATTTTTAACTGTTGCAAGAAAATGTGCTTTAACCATGCTGAATAAAGCTGGCAGCTACCCTGTTATGATTTTGAGTCTTATGATGTTGTATACAATGAAATTATTATTATAAACAAATTGTCTTTTTTATTGTTGAAAATTTTATTCTATGTTCAGTATTTAAAACTTTTTTTTTTACTATTAAATTAGCTTTTAAATGGGGCCACTCCGCAGTGGGAGAATTTAGAGCAGTTCCCCTCATGTTTTTGTGAATGATGCAAGAGTAAAGTTAAATGGCTCTCCTCCTCTCAGGATGCTGTTTGTTACAAAAGGGAAAGCCTTATTCTTACATGCACTGACTGAACTACCCACGGCTCATGTTATACATTCAGGGCCAATGTGAAATTTGTTTTTGCAGGAGTTGGAGAAAGCTGGGCTATTAAATAAGACCAAGATTGCTGAAGGAGGGAGAAAGCTAAGGTAAAATTAAAACCACTCTTTTATGAACTATTATAAAACAAGGAACATTTAAGATTGCAATGAATATTTGTTTACAGGAAAAATTGGAGTAATTCTTGGGTGGTACTGGTTGGGAACAGCCTGGTTTTCTTCAAAGATCCTAAATCACAGACGCCATCCAGCTGGGTAAGTGGTGTGCAAATGCAGAAAGCTGAATTTAAAAGATTTGGTTAAAGCTAGTGAGGGGGTACATTTCCTGATTATAAAAGCTCTTGTCATGCATGAGGCACATAACGGTTTTTCTGCCTGATGGATTTCCTATTTTGGGATAAACCCTGCAGACTCTCTTGTCAGCTGACTCTGCACCAGTGAGCTAAGAGCATCAGTTTAAACTCAGAATACACTGTATATTTTTCCCTGTGTCACTTTCTGTATTGAAATGTTTACTTTTTGTGTGCAGCATATATAGAATTAAAATATTTAATTTTGCATCACGCTGGGGGTGTGTTACATGGTGTTACCATGGTGACACAATGCACAAATTATCAAACACAGACAAAAAAGCTTTAGCAGTAAGAAACTCAAAATAAATTAAAACAGCATGTTTTTATTTTCTGTTTAGGTGTTTTGGTGTGATTTTCCACCAAAAGTGAGAGTGACTGTTGGTTGTTGGCTAGCTAGCTGTGAGTGTAATTTTATGTGTGAGAGACTTGTTAAAGTGCATAAATCATCTCTCTTGTTGTAGTTCCAACTAAATCAGCTCTTCCTGGTCAGACTGTGTTAAAATAAAGCTCAGATTAAGTCTAACTTGAGTAACAATGTTTCTAACAAAGCAGTGCTTTCAGTTAGCTTCACACCCTCAGGGAATGTTGATGAAATCAGCTCCGAAGTATCAATAATTAAGTATTATTATTTTCAGTTCTTCCATAATTAATAAAGAGAATCCACTATTGGAACCACATGCAATTTGACAGTATCATCAGATTAAATGTTTTTTATTTAAATACTTGAGACCATTAGACCATTAAAAGTGGGCAGACAATTTAGATTGAGATACCCATCATTACAGTGATACTATAGATTAATATGATGATTTATGTATGTATGTGGCTGGAGAGTATTATTATATTATATGTTGGTGCTGAAATGTCCTTTTAGAGACCAGGAAACAGCAGGCCTGAAAGCAGTGTGGATTTAAGGGGAGCACAGCTGCACTGGGCCAATGATCTATCCAGCAAGAAGAATGTCTTTAAGGTGATTATAATCAGTCTGTAGTTGTTGTTGTTTTTTGTTTTTTTTTGTGGGATAAAAATAGTTTTTTAAAGAAAACTACAGTTCTAATGAATGGGGGAAGTGTGCATTGGAAACACTCTTGTGTTAATTTTTAAATAAACCCCATTGTAAGTACCAGGGTGGAAGAGGAAGCATCAAAACTAATTATGTGACCTTTAGTTCATTGTGATTTCATCAAAAATGTCATTTGTCAGTTGACTCAAGCTTGACCTGACCTATAAACTTTTGCTTTGCTTTCTTCAAGCAGGGAAAGCTCAAACAATGAGATACAGGACTACATTCGTACCATACTCCATACAGATACACTACAACTCACCTTTATATAACAAATAATACTCCCTACAACTGTAAAGCAAATCATCCTTATGTAACAGATAACACTGCCTTCCTATGCCCTCTTTTATATAGCTGAGATTTTATATGTTATTACATCATTTTCTATTTTAATTTGGACTTGTGAATTTACATTTTTCTAAATATGCCTTATTTGACACTTGTCTCTTGCTCTTTTTTTGCTACTTATTTAGAATTTATTATTATTATTATTACCATTTGTATGTTTTACCCTTTGTTATTATATTATATTGTGATATGTGTGATGTGATGTGAGCTGCTGTGTCCAAATAATTTCCCTTGTGGATCAGTAAAGTTGGTTTAAGTCTAAGTATATGTAGTAAACATAGGGCGGCAGTAGTTCAGTTGGTAGGCTGCCCACTGACCTACAGGTTGGTAGTGCGAGTCTAGCTCCGACAGATGAATGCTGTTGTGTCCTTGGGCAAGACACTTAACCCATCTTGCCCTGGTGTTTGAATGTGTGTGACAGGGCGAGTGGTTCCTTGATGTAAAGAGCTTTGAGGGCCTTGAAAGTGGAAAAGCACTATGTAAAAATATGACCATTTACCATTGTCTGTGTGTTTCACTGTTTCAGTTGAGGACAGTGACCGGAAATGAGTTCCTGCTCCAATCAGAGACAGACTCACTGATCAAAGAATGGTTTAACACCATTCAAAGCGTCATTGACCGCCTGGTAATACAATGCCCCAAAACCACACATACCACAGGATTTTCATTAAATATGTATGATCAGTATTGTTTTCATCTGTTAATATGATTTTTATTTAGTTTACAAATGTAATTTCTGCTCATTGCCAGTGTATTAGGTACGGATAATTTGTTGCTAACATTTTCACAGATGTGTCTCAATGCTTCTTATTTTCTTGTGGATACAAATCTTTATTTTAGACATTAAATCATGCTGCTAAATGTAACCATATATTATTGACAGATACGTCATGATTTGGGAAAAATGCACAACAACTCAATCAAAAATCAATGTATTCTTCATTTGTTTATAAACATGTCATATTTACTAATTTACCAATTACATTATTTGGCAGATGCACTAACTTTGATATACAGAAAAACCTTTGTGACTTAATGTTTCATTGTCCTCTCTTCAGGACCGTGAAAACCCTTTGGACAATGTGCTGCTGTATTCTCTGAGAAGAGCGGGCAGTGTGGAGATGCTGGACAACAGTGGGGATGAGGATGAGAGGAAAACATCCCGTAAGTCTCAATGCTTCAGCCACTCTTCCATTACATGTAGTCACCCATCAAAGTTAGAGCATCAAAATTAACTTCAAAGGACGCATATTACAATATTTTCTGATCTATGTTATAATTTTGTTTCCTCATTATAAACATGGAGTTGTGTTTTGTTTCATTCACACATGTTTAACACACAAAGCCTGCTTATTTGGGCAGAACACTCACTGTTCCAATTTGTGATGTCATGTGGTAATGCAGGAAATGCTCCACTGTGTTTTTAAGCTCCATACACCTTCACTAGAATCATTTTTATCATTTCAACCCTGCAGTTCCCAGTATCTACTGAACAAAAGGTGAAAGGTAGCTATTAACTTGAAAATTACCATTTCATGACATCACAAGGTAGAACAGAGCATTTTGAGCTTTGGAGATGTACACAGACTATCAAATGTGTGAATGAAATAACTCCAGGTATGTTTTCAATGGTAACAAGATTCTAACATGACTTAGTTCATTTTGCCTAATATAGGACCTTTAGCAAAACTTTCTTCATAAGACTATAAAAGTGTACCTATATTATAATCTAATTTTAAAGCAAGATTACAACTGTATTGCTAACAACACTCATTGAACAACTCCATAGACCATTTTTAATTCAATGTCAATCCCTTAATTATTCTAGAAACATAAAAACAAGTATTACTCAGCCACAATGATAGCAGTTTTGATAGCATATCTTAAAATGCTGTGAAGTATTGTTGTGTGTTTCTGGTTTCTAATGCTTTTGGGTTTACTGTGAGAATATGGCATTATCTCTCACCATTCACATTTTCATGTCTTATTCAGCTCATTGCTTTGTCTCCTCCTGACATTTCGTACAGGCGTTTTTCACCCCTCTATCTTGTCCTCCATTCTGTGCTCCATCCAGCCTGTGTACATCTTCACACAGCCCCCCTGGCAAGTCTTACCCGCCTGTGTGCTGTCCCACCTGAGGCGCCGTCCTGCTTTGCCTCTCTTCATCCTCACCACTATCCCCTCTCATCTGTTCTTCCGCCCCACAGCTCGATGGCCCGCACTCACCCACACCTCTTCTTCTGCTCTCTCCTCTGTTCCTCTGTCCTCCGCAGTCCCTCGTTCCTCATCCAACCTGGAGAACACAGAGCGGAAACGTGTCAAGTCCAGACTCAAGAAGCTGATCCTGAAGAGACCTCCTCTGCAGACTCTGCAAGAGAAAGGCTTAATTAAAGGTGAGATAATGACTTTTTTCTTATCTACATTCTATTATCCCAACACTATATTTATGTCATTATGTTCATATCAGTGCAATGCAGTAGGTTGCATCTTTGTTCATGGTTTGTGCTTGATGATTAAGCAGGTGAAATTAGTTCAGTCCTGATAAAGTTAAAGATAAAGTGAGTGTGACACCACCCATAGTCAAATGAAGCTCACTGAGACTAGCAGTTATGGGGGTGGATTTGAAGCAGAGGTCCGTATCAGGAATAGAAATTAATTTGCAAATAATGAAATAAAAATACCAGGATCATATACAGTGAGTTAAAATGAAAATTTTAAGACCAAAATGAGTGCCTGACAGCAGCAGTTTTTCAGAGAGGGGTGAAGTTTTCTCAATACAAAGTGAATTGGAGCTGGAGTTGATGGATGGTTTCTGTGTGCAAATGGTTGCCTATGACAGTTCTGGAAATGAAACTATTTCTTCTAACCTATCCTTCACCATTAATGTTAATTGTATCATACTGAGTGATGCATGGTATGGGGTATCTATAAATTTCACATGTTATGTTAATAGGCTTCAAGAAACAAATCTCTGTGTAGTCCTTGGAGGCCTTTACTAGATTCCGTTGACATAGAAAACATGATGTAACCCAAATTGTATCAAGTTCCCAATCATCCGTTGTACCAAATGTCTGTAGAGTATAATGCTATTGTATAATGTCCTGCTGTTTATGGATGATGTAAAAACAAACATTTGAATTCTTATAACTTTGATCTTTCTCCAGACCATAGGAGACCAAAGTATGTGATGATGTGAAGGACTGTACTCTGAGCTAGATGCTTTTTATAACATCACTCTTTGGAAGTGTACAGTGCATGAGGGGCATTGCATCATCAAAGGTGTTTTAGCTTTCTGCTGGGACTGCAGTTGAACATAGAGGTTTGCTACCACAGTGGACAATCCTTTTGCCTCTAAGTAAAGTTCTCCTCATCACTTCTCAATCAAGACTTTGTTGGAAAATGTCATTTGAAGACATTGTTTAAATTATATATGTTCCTGTGTGTCTGTAGATCAAGTATTCGGTTGTTGTCTGGAGATGTTGTGTGAGAGAGAGAAGAGCACCGTCCCTCGCTTCGTTCGACTCTGCACCGAGGCAGTGGAGAGAAGAGGTGAGAAAAATTAAAGATACTGTAAGGTCCTATATTACGCTATAATATTGTTTCCTCATCACAAACATACCTGGAGTTGTGTCTTGTTTTATTCACTCGTGTTTGAGTAACCCTTTTATTAGTCTGTCTATATCTTCAGAGCTCAAAATGTTCTTTTTTACCTTGTAAAACCTCACCTTACCTTACCTTGTCTCATGTAGTTTTTAAGTTAACAGCTCCTTTTATTTTTAGTTTAGTAGAGATTGGAAATTTCCAAGTAGAAAGTATCCAAATGGTTCTAGTGAAGGTGTATGGAGTTTATAAACACTGTGGAGCATTTCCTGTATTGCCACATGACATCATAAGGTGGAACAGTGTTTTCCAGTTGAGAGAAGAACTTAGCTTAAATACATAATGCCATATATATTTGTGATGAGAAAACAACATTATAACAGAGATCAGAAAATAGGGTAATGTAGGACCTTTAAAGAAATAGTCAGTTACAACTAAAGTCATCTACTGTATGTAATCTAGTAAAATACTGAGGTTAAAGGGGACTTATTATATAAAACTGACTTTGAAATGTCCTGTATCCATCGACCCTCTTTCTCCTTCCAGAAATTCAAACTCCTGGTGAAACAAGTAGAAATGCCAAATTTTTCAAACAAATACATAAAAAATAAAATAAAATAAATAATAATAATGTTACAGCAAAGTTCACTATCTTCTCAGTTCTGCATTTTTAATGGGAAGTCAGTGGACCTGTTTCTACTGATAAGCCAGTTTAGATCAATATGTGGTTTACAATGAAACAAATATAAAATAATAATCTGCATATGTCAGATTTTAATATCAAATGCCAGTTAGAAGGAATAATATGTAATGAAAATTCTATGAAATTTATGCGAGTACAAATATTTCGGTGTCTGTATTTACAATTGGCACTCATGATAAAAATTAGCATAGTGTTGTACAGATAATATCACTAAAGGTCTCAAGGGCTGTAGTCGACTAAAGAAATTTGTATTCTACTAAAGACATGCCTTGCTGATCGATTAGTTGTCAAAAAAGGGGACGTGGCCATAAAACCATTAAATATCTCTATGTATCTGACCCAAACAGCACTCACAAGACTACAACCGCATATGTACTAGTTCATGCAAAAAATATTTTTTATACATTTTTATTTATTTTGTGAAAAATAAATAATAATAATAAATAAACTCATGATTTACTTTTGACCACATGACCACATTTTAGCCAACTCTTATATCTTGCTGTTATAGTAGTTGTCCCATATAAAATCGAAATAAAAGTAGGCAACTAATACAGATTTTATTTAACTAAGACACTTGTGACCGATTAATTGACTAAATGACAAGAGGACTAGAGCTATACTGAATACATTTCCTATTTCAATAAAATTTCTGAGCTAAAATACATTTAAGATTTCAAAGTACCCCCACTGTTCTTATTAATCAGGGTAATGATAGCATTTGCCACTTCCTCATTCCTCATAATAAACCACATAAGCACTGGTGATGTCATCCACCAGACTTAAGACAACACGCTCTCTCCCATGACAACAGCTTTGCACCTCCCGTTCAGTGTGTGACAGGATTCATCAACAAAATCTCACAGAAATGTTTGTGATTGCACAAATTTAGAGAAGAACCCCATGACAGCTGCCAAGGCAGAGACAGATCCAAATGAAAGAAAATAGACTTGTTTTGAAATTGGATCGAAACAATGCCCCAGATGAATATTTAATACACAGGGATTTTATTCTTGTTTTTGACCACTAAAGCTTTTAAAACCTGGGTTTGATGAATTAAATATGTCTAGCCTTTTTTGTACAACTCTACTGCCAGAAAATATTTCAGAAAGTTTAAGAACACGATGCTTCTCTCGCCATAAGAGGAAAATAAAATAAACTGAAATGTCATTGTGCTATAAATTGAAGCTGGAGGGAGATGAGGGGTGAGGGGTCCACCTGCACAGGCAGATATACAGGGGGTCAAAACTCTGCACTTTGGTCTTTTGGTGTGTAAAACAGTGCAAGATTTCTCCAGTTTTGGAGCTTTTAAGAACTTCTTGTAACCAAATCCATTTTGATTTTGCAAGTCATATAAGCGCTTTGTGTGAGCGTTATGGCAGCCCTTGTCATTGTCAATGTGAATATTTCATAATAAAAGGACCAAAAGTTGAACTTGTTCTTCCACCATGACAATGAAACATGCTGAAAATGCAGAAGTCTTCTCTACCAGGAGCTGTTTCATTGAGCTGCAGGCTAACAATGTAATAGGAAGTTTAAACCTGCTTATGTGAGCTTCATCACATACCCCGCTTCTTTCTACAGTAGCTTCTGCTATTTCAAAGTGTCAAGATGGTGTTTTTCTCAACCCCATTCTCTTGGCTTATGCAACTTAAAACTTCCTTGGCTGAGTAAATTATTGATTAGTCTAAAATAATGACTACAGCATGACAAATAGAACCACAGTGGCACTAGTATTTATCACCTTGTGAAGTCTCCTCTCTTTTATGTCTTAATCAGCTTTGGAGCTCACAATACCACTAACGAGTGTAATGTTTGTTTTCTTACATGCATCAGATCATTTACTTTTAACTCTTTTTTCATGCATAAGGTCTCATTTTCACTTTTTTTTAATCATTAGTCTTCTTTCTGACTACAGCCAAAAAACGTTTTAAAAATATGATTCTGAGAAGAGTCCTCATCTGTTCATTATATTAAACAGACATTCATCTTTGTGTGTTTTGTCACAGGACTGGACACTGATGGCATCTACAGAGTGTCTGGAAATCTGGCAGTCATTCAGAAACTACGCTTCAGGGTCAACCATGGTAAGTGACTTTGATGTTTAAAGTTAAACTGAAGCTCAGAGGAGAATTTTAATGTAAGTATTAAACTGGAGAAGGGTCATTTGAGAGCATTTAAATCAGCCCAAATATACTGTAAATAACTGAGTCAGACATGTGCACACATCGCTGCCCTGACTTCATCTATCATGTGGGTCAAGACACTGTTGGTTTTTGCAGAGCGAGCAGTGACTACAGACGGACGTTACATGTTCCCTTCAGAGTTGGTACAAGGTAGAGCCAGACTGTTCAACAGAAACTGCGTCTTTATGTTTACTCTGCTTGTTTTGTGCATTACATGTTGCATAATGTGAAAAGTAGCGCGGTCCAAACTCAGACACAGAATGACAAACAGAGGGAGATGAAGCGCCGCTCTCTCTCAAGTCTTCACTGGTTGTGCTACCATTTGCTTAATATGTGTGTATGCGCGTGTATGTGTGTATGTACGTCCCTAAGGCATTTCTGCTTTAAGTTTTCTGATGTAATAACTCAGCAGCAGGTTGTGCAGAGCTGTCATATGCTTCACTGTCGCCATCAAGTGGACACAACTCAAATAGCATGATGGTATATGCCTGCTAATATGTGCTGCATTTGGTAAAGCTTCTTATTGTGACTTTGTGACTGTAATAAAGATCTGACTATTAACAGCATAAAGACAAAGGCAAAATCTGAAAAAAAGGCCTCAGGAATGTCCTTGGACACCTTGGATCACTGAAGTGGGTCATACTTCATTTAAACAGTTTTTTACTGAAAAACAGTCAGTCTAATGTATAATGAGACCTGTTTCACTCTTGGTTTAGATGACAAGCTCAGCCACACATACTGATACATACATATATACATACAGGACAGTACAAATTATGATGACATGAGGACAATAATCAAATGGCATTTTTGGATATGTTTGTGGTAAAAATGGTCCAGATATGGACTCAAACTCAAAAATAATCTAGTTCTTGCATCAAGGCTCTTTTCAAACCCCACTAAAACTTTTCAAATGTTGCAATGCTTAATCCTTTCTTCATAGCAACTCTTTGTGGCACTTCTCTTATGTACGTTTTTCTACATTCTTACTACACTCTGTCTCTTGCACACTGCTCATAAGTCATGTTCTCTTGTCCTCATTGTCCTCTTCTCAATTGTGTCTCAGAGGAGAAGCTCAATCTGGACGAGAGTGAGTGGGAGGACATCCATGTGATCACGGGAGCTTTGAAACTTTTCTTCCGAGAGCTTCCCGAGCCGCTGGTCCCATATGGCTTCTTCACCGACATCGTGGAGACAGTCAGTGAGTGGAACAAATCAAATAAGTCAAAATGTTCAATAAATCTTGTATTGTCATTCCTTTTTTATAACATGTATTTATTGAGATTTTTTATTCTCCATTTAACAACGTGAACAAAAGTCAAATGAGGCAGATAAATATAATACTGATAGAAAAGGAGGTGTTATAGTGCATTTTTCTTATCTTCAACAGTTTGATAGAACATTATGCACCCCAACTAACAGCTTTATACTTAATTATTTGAGTGGGAAGATTGCATAAACAATTTTCATATAAACTTTAATTTAAGTTTTATATCCCGTAAAAGTGTTTCAGCGTGCTTATCCTGTTATTAGGGCTTACAAATACATTTTTCTGTAAAGTCTTAAGAGGCTTAAAGGTTCACAGTACAATGCACACACATACATTGTATTCAACGGTTCGGCCCTCATGACTTGAAAGCATTAAATACATTTAAATCTCCCAATGAAGTGCAATTCTTCAGACTTTTAATCTTCTTTTCTTATCCAATTTTCAATCAAGCCAACAAATATAATCACTTCGTTTGCATATTGGTGTGATAAATAATATTTTTTTTTTGTGGATTTTCACTTCTCTTTGATGACAGTTGATAATGGCTGAACAGTGCACAAGATTAGATCATAAGAACAAAAGAACAAAAGTGTTATCATTCCAAATATGAAGTGAGGTTGTGATACTGATAAATTGCATGAGTCTCCATGCAAATGATGACACCGTGTTGTGTGTGTGTGTTACAGAGATGACAGACTACATAGATAAAGTGGATCGTCTGAAGTGTCTGGTCTTGAACATGCCTCCACCAAACCATGACACACTGCAGTTCATGTGTCGCCATCTCAAACGGTAAGGCTTTTAGTTCTATAAAGCACAAACATATTAGATACTTATATTTTTGAATTTTGGTTCACACATAATTTTCTTCTGCTGTCAAAAATGACTTGTCTGGTAAAAGGTTTTAGTTGCACAGTGGATTGCATGATTTCCTCAACCAAAAGGGTCTTGATTGGGTTACTTAAATTCTTTATCATCTATATGTGCAATACTTTTTATTAAAGCTACAGTATTTTAGTGAAAAATACACTCAAACAAAAGCATTTTTCTTTTGTCTTTATGACACTGAAAAACATCCGTCCTTCCTCTGATGGGGCTTGCATCTCCTCAAACTTCTTTTTTGACCTTCTTCTGCTTCTTTCCAAGGAAATGTTGTTCCTTTGACTATCTTCCACCGACTTGTATAAAACTTATCTGTCTGTAAGATTGAGTATTGAACAGTCAAAATCTTGTCATGAAACCACAGCCTGTATATCATTCTTTCTTAAATTATATTCAACTCAAATGTTACTTACCCCCTAAGATTTTGCTGAAAATTCAAGTTATTTAAAAAATCTGACCACAAGAGGGGGCAGTTTCCCCATCTTACTCAGCCCTTTCTCTCTGTGGCTCTGGACGTGTGTCAGCTCTGTTCTGGGATCACACTGTTGTTAAGCCCGTGCTCTCAGCGAAGATGAAAAGGCTGGAGGAGGATGAATGATGTACAAAGTTTTGCGAGCCAGTTCCTTTTACAGTACATAAAGTGTGTGTTTTTTACCGCCTTTGGTTTTTCCTTCCACTGCAGGGGTGAGTGTTCGTGTTTGCAGGCCTGTCTCCGTGCCAGGGTGTGGTAGAAGGGGCCATGAATTTGTCAACTCTTGTGTCTTTTCGCTTATTTTTCCCCCAAACAGCCATTCCTCCCCTCCCAAGTTGTGCATCACTTTTTTTAATCTTCGGGCTTAATCACTCTAGTCTCCATGTCTCCTGCTAACTTGCCACCTTAATTTCCTTCCTATACACGCCCCCCCCCTCTCTCATTTTCTGTGGCTCTCCCCTCTTTGCCTCGAAGGTCCTATGGGAGCCTTGCGGTTCGTCTGCTGGAAGGCATACCAACACCGCCGCCGCCACCACTGGAACCTCTTCTCTCTCTTTCTCTTTCACTCTCTCTCTCTCAGCCCTGTCCCTCGCTTATTTTTTTCCCCTAGTTTTTTTTTTTCCTCCACTCTTTTTAATGTGGAAGTTTTGAGCAATTGCTGGCTGCCCCTGTGGCTTGGTGGGAATGGCATTTTTAGAAGAATGCCTCATGCTGTGGCTTTAACCCGTTCCCTGGCCCCCCTTGTTTAAATCTCAAATCACACACACCGCGCACTGTAGGTGGATACGTACGAAGCACATCTCGGTTGTAAAATATAGGCGTGCAGCACTTGAACATGCACTCATTTAGGCAGATGTTCATGCTGAGGAAGGCTCCAGGAATAGTGCGGAAACCTGGGACAAACAAACCTGCAAATTAAACCTTCACTCAAGGCCATTTTGGACATTTAGGGCCCCATAGGCTTCTTATTTATAGGTTAATGATTTTGTCTTGTGGTGCACCGCAATAGTTTTATATGGTTCAAGATCAGATACATATTCCTCCTATGCCATAATTACATACAGTCTATGAAACAGGGGCTTTTACATGTCTGTCTTTAAGGCCCTCCCACAATGTTTCAGCTGGTCGATGACACTCACTTTTGATTGGTCAGTATTGCATAAATCAATCCTCGTCCTCAAATGTACTTTCAGATTTTGTAATAGTATCTAAAATGTGTTTGAATGTTTAACAAAGGCCAACTGACAATGCCTTTTTCACCTTTCTTCAAGTACACATATGCTATATAATTTACACTAGATTTATATGTTCTGAACCACACCTTTTCCTGTACATCCTTCAATTATCTTACCATGAGAGCCAAAACTGCTGATTTCGTACACAATTCCTGACTCAGTGAACCACTCACTTCCTTAACTGCCTTCTGTCTTATCCTGACTTCGATTTCAGACTTCACTGCTATCTTGACCAGTTCTTTAACTCAATGGTTGACTAATTGAGTGTAAAAAATAATATTAATTGTATTTCAATAACCGTGGTCATTATCTGGCCTTCACAGTCTCTAAAACACAAATGATGAATGAAAAGACAGTGACATTATTATTATATATATATTATATATTATATCAAATTTCTTAAAGAATCAACAATTTCAGATTTTCATTGTTTGATTGAAATAAAATAAGTAAGTAAATAAGTTTAGCCCTATCACTGTTTCCCAAAGTTTATCATAAAAATAATACATTTTATTTACATAGTGTTTTTCAGGACACTCAAAGACCCTTTACAAAATAAATATTAAAACAGTCAAAAAAGCAACAGATAAATAATACAGTAAAGATAAAAATCATATAGAAAAAAATCCACTATTATATGGTGTCAAATTTGAATGTTAAGTTAGAATGACCCATGTACTCTTGTACTCTTGTACTCTTGTACGTGTTATCTAAGCATCATTGTCTTAAAAGCTCTCATATTCCTGTTTCTTTGTATCACATGTGAAATTTTTTATGGCATTTCGATATTACAAAACCACCAACTGGACTCTGGACTGGTGTTATTCATCACATAAAACTTCTTCTGCTTCTCTGAATGGGTATTAGATTGCCAAATAGTTATTTTTTCCCCCCTCAAGCTTCAGTAAAACGGATTTTGATACTGATATATTAATAGTTCATGTAGTGTCACCCACTGAACTAAAACCTTGAATACACAAAAGCTGTTGTATTCTTGAAACTGCATAAATTACTCACCCACTGCACCAGACCATAGAGGAACAGAGGAGCTCATTCTCCAACAGGCTCCATATAACTGTACAACAACTCACCTTTATGTAACAGATAATACTCCCTACAACTGTACAACAACTCATGCTTTTGTAACAGATAACCCTGTCTTGTCAATCATCATTTCGTCTTTGCACAGTTTTTCCTTATGACCTTTTGTTTAAAGCTGAAATATATTTTTCTGTTACTATATTTCTTTATTTAACTTTTACTTGCACATATACATTTATATAATTATGCCTTGCTGAGGATTTATTATTAACATTTATATTTTTTGCTGTTTATTATTATAATATTGTGATGTGTGAGCAATGGTGTCCAAATAATTTCCCTTGTGGATCAATAAAGTGTAAATACACATTATATCGTTCTTTTACAGTGTGCTGGAACATTCAGACTCCAACCGAATGACCACCCAAAATATCGGCATAGTCTTTGGTCCAACCCTTATGCGCCCTGAAAGAGATATCGGCAACATCGCGATCAACATGGTGTACCAGAACCAGGCGGTGGAGCTTATACTCAGTGAATATGAACACATCTTCGGGACACGAGGCTTTTCTTGATGTTTTGACGCATCCAAATGAAAGGACCTCCTTGCAATCAGCACCCAACCCAAGCACAAGTAGAGCAGCATCTGACCTCCTTCTAACCGAGGACTCATTCGGTGTAAAATGGATTTAACATCAAAAGATAATTACGGGGTGAAAAAGAACCAGGACAGAAAGCTGCTAATCATGACATCTGGTCTCCATATATAAAGTCATGTTAAAACAATAATAGTAAAAACATGCCAAATTTAGCTGCTACGCTTGTGTCTTTGAATGTGGGGACACTGCAGCTGGAAAAGACTGTACCTTGTTACTCTCCTTTCATCTTTCCATGGGTCAAACTTGATTAGGATTTTTGAAAGCCATAAGTTTACTCATCAGGTTTGGTCAAATAGCTTTCTGTTAGTTCATCTCCATTCAGACGTCACCTTTTCTGCCTTTATATTTTAACTTAGGTGTTAGCGTCCTTTTTTTACCCATACGCAAGATCCACCATGTCTTGCCAAGGGACACAATGGCAGTATGTAGCGACTGGAGCTGCTGTCAAACTGCTAAACTGTGCATTGGTGAATGAACACTTTTACACTTTTACCTAGGCACACCTGCTTACACATCACATCATATTTGGGTCTAAACTGGAACTAAAGATGAAACTAAACGTGGACTAGACCAGGACTAGACTGGGATTAGACATGTTATGTAAGAGTGAACATACGATAACCTAACCACTGAGCCATAATTGAACTGATGTTGTCAATTCAGCAATTATGTTATAAGTTATATGGAGGGATTTCTATAGGTAAAAGCTATCATGTTTAAACTGTTTTTTGTTTTGTTTTTTACTTCAGGAGTACAGTACTTGTCATCACTAGTCCACATGATGACAGGGCAGACTGACATTGTTGCCATATTTTGGTGTCTTCACTGGTTAGTGAAGTGCTACTAACCGATCAGGGCACACTGAGACTTAAATTAAAATAATTTAAGAGTTAAAACATGCAAACTCATTTTAGCTGTCTGAAATATGACTGAAGAATATGTTATATATAGGACCTTTAAATCATAGAAATGGGTGAAGGAGGGAGCTAAACTTAGGGGAACCATTGCACTGTGAAACCCAGCCTCACCAGCACATACACCTCGACTGTCAGTGCGGGGGAATATACAGTGAAATATGCAAAAACCAGCAGGAAGCAGACCGGGTGTGTACACGGACTTTAAGTATACAACTATGATTGTGACAACGGGCGGAGATGTTCCCTCAACCAAACTAGTCCCTATATGTGGACCTCTATCCCTTTTCCTTACTGTACAAATTCCTTTATGAAATTATATATAACATTATAAATTAATGTTGTAAATATGTGAAATATGACAACCTAGTAGCACCTTTTGTGTAACATTAGCAGTGATGTTGAAAATACTACTGATGCTGTGTACATAAACTGCAAAAAGTGAGGCCTAAGTAAATTCAGATTACTCCAATTAAGATTATTTGACTTGATTTGAGTAGATTTCCTTTGACAAGTAAAATGATCTACTAATGGAATTTTGGAGTTTTTTTTCTTAAATCAAACAACATACGATTAATTTTTTTTTATTTTAAGTACTAAGAGTTGTTTTTCTTATCTTCAGAGTAACTAGGTGTATTTTCCTATTTCAACTATAAAATGACTTGTTGTATTGGTAGACAATTTTACTTTGTCATGAAATTTACACAAATCAATATAACATGTTCTTAATTCAAGTCATTTTTACTTGGCAAGATTTGAGTTTTTGCATTGTAGGCTTTACCTGCACTGTTCACCTTACAATAAACCTGCGTGAACATCCCCGTCTGTGCTGTTTTGTGCCTTTTTTTGCAGGGTGGGAGCGGTTTGCGTGAGAGATAGTAGAAGTGTGGAGGTATGTGGCCCTCAGAGACTCTGTGGGCCGAGGCATCCCCTGTGATTGGTGCAAATGCTGCTTTTAATAAGAGAACAAAAGAGGAACTGGAAATGCATATGTTTTCAAAAATGTGGACTTCCCCCCTTTTTTTCAACAAAAGCCTCTCACTCTGCGGCCTGGGTAATTTTATATTGACTGTGGGTTTGGCAGGAGACGAAAAGATCAGAAAAGAGGCACAAGGGAAGAAAAGGCTTGAAGATTGTGCTGAGTTTTATTAGCAGTATTTATTCATTTTTATGTACATGGTGGTGTGAGTGTGAGGGGACAGGGCAGGAGTGATGGGCAGAGCTTTTGATCACTGTGTGTGTTTCTGACATATACGGGTTTGATTGACAGACTTATAATTTTTACCGAGCTGTGACCACATGTGTTTATTTGATCCAAGAGATTGTCCACGGTGATCTGTGAAGTTAGCTTAGAGTTTTCACATGAACGTGTCAGTCAGTGATGCACGGAAGATAGTGTATTTTTACAGCTGTGTGATTAGACATGCTTTTAGTCAAAAATGCTACTCAGTTTCACATCACATTTGAATCATATATTACATTATGCGCATTGACTTAAACTACATGCATTTATTGGATAGTTAAAGTAATATTTCACTGCAGAATACAGTTACTTCAAAGGAAGACATTGTAGTATTTGATCATGCAGTTTATTGCCTGAAACTGTGCAGGAGTAGTGTGAAAAACAGAAAACACAGCTCTTATGAGTGCGTTTGAATGTAAATGCATAAGAAACGGTGCAAAAAATATAAAGCTGATTGCATTTTTACACTATAATGTAATGCAACTCAATGTAAAAGTATTCCAAAGTATCCCAAAAGCAGTATTCAGATTAGACCATATAACGGAATACATAACAAAATATATTTTAATGCAGGTATTTCTATTCAAGAATTAAATACTGAAGTTATTTTAACTCACTCCAAGAAATAGTGGCTTAAAATAAATGTTACTTCTTCCCACTCCATTTCGAGCATCAATTTTTCATTCATATGAGTCAATCTTAGACTCAAACAGTACAGATTGCATTCATCTCTCTACCTCTTTTTGTTTGTTCTGCCGTGGCATAGCTCAAAATAAAGATTAAAGACTCAAAAGCATTTTCAAAATATTCTGGGTAATACTGCATATGTGTAATACAAAACTAGGTAGCATAAACATTTGGACGCATTAACTTTGTTGAATGGTATAAACAATATTGATTATACTTTTTTTTTTTACATCTTAGTTATACATTATCAACATTTAGATTACATTATTTGTTCTTCTGCTTCCTGCAACTATAGGCTGAATTCACACGGTACCACTGATGGATGAAGTACTCAATTTTGTTACTTAGGTAAAAGCAGAGATACAAAAAGTTAAAAGTTATTCAAGATATAGTATCACATAAAAAAAAAAAAAAAACTTAAGTAAAAGTATTAAAGTGCATTTTTATACAGATACTTTTAGAGTAAAAAAATAAAAGTATTTGTAGATATTTTTAGAACAATTGGAAGAGTGATTTTGAAAAATAATTTTGCAGATTTTAAGTGATTCAATTGATTTGCTAATTTTTCTAACTGTTTTGTAATTTTGTGTATTTGGTTTGTTCAGAGTTGGGATGTTAAGTCAAATTAAATGTGCTAAAAATATAAAGTCTTCACCATTTCAGCAGGTCTCATGCTGTTAAAAAAAAGTACCAGATCTAAAAAGTAGTGGAGTAGGAAGTATAAATACTTGCTCTCAAATGCAGTGAAGTTAAAGTATCCACTCTAAAATCTACTTAAGTAAAGTACAGATATGTACAATTTGTGTGTGGTATTGTACTTTTGTACTTCGTTACCTTCCACCACTGCATGGTACAAATTTTACCACCATCAAAATGTAGGGTTACAATAGGAAAGGCGTTTGTAGTAATTACATATGAGACTTTTTATATCCATATGTTTAGAATGTAAACAAGAAAACTCCATCTTTCTCTTTGTCCTGAGCTGCTTTGTTATTAATGACTGCTGCTAAAAATAGGCTCCGCCAATCCTCCTCTTCTAATCAGCCTGCTTGGCATTGTGCATGATTTCAACACAGTGTATTTCCTCCCTTTCTTCTCACCTCATTACCATAGCGTTATTTTAATCATGAAGGGCTAATTGTATCTTAATTGATAGCAAACAATCTGTAATGAGAGATGATGTAAGGAAATGTAAAGTGGGATGCCGACAATGGAGCGGCAGCACTTGGAGCGATAAAGAGATTTGCTTACAACAACAGATTTGTGATTTATGGTCTGATGAAACGTTACAGAACAACGTCAGTGCAAAACCATCGGAGTGCATCTGTGTGCAGTTACTACTAGAACTGTTCCATTTTTGATGTGAGAAAGTATTTATTTTAATAAGGCATATAGGCCTGTGTATCTGTGTTTCATTGTTGCTGTGCCATGTGATTTTAAAGTGACTGTGGCACTTGGAGATTTGTTTTTCAAAAGTAAAGTGCAATATAAATGACATCTATTATTATTATTATTATTATTATTATTATTATTATTATTATTATTATTATTAACTAAAACGTCCTAATATTTGACATGGTTTTCAGAGACTTGGGGATTTTCATAGATTTTGTTTTATATTACTTACTTGCATTATAGAGAAACATATTTACATTTATATTGTTTTAGTTAAGCATTTCCTAAGTCCAAAAACCAAATCCTTGCATCCTCCTTTTCCTTAAATTCTCACACACTTCAGCAGTATCTCTCAAATTTATCAGACGTGTGTTATAGCCATAGGTTATTTTTTATATTAGGTGGTTTTAGCTCAGTGATGCTCTTTTCACAAAAGATTAATCATAAAACAGGCAGAGCTGCAAGCTAAAGCTTTTGCACCAATGAAAGTTCACAGTGGTCTAAGCAAGGGTATTATTTCCTGTGAAGTGATTTGAAAGTGGTTTACTTAATGATTCAAGTCTACAATAATGTGTGTGTGCATGGGTGTGTGTGAGTGTGTGAGTGTGTGTCTATGCTATGCCAAAATTTAACTATTACACTTTGGTTTTTATTTACATGAGCCTGCTTCTTTAGTAAAATTATTCTAAACTAACTTTTATAATTATGAATCCATTAACTCTTACTCTTCCACACACATTACAAAACTAAACAAACAAAAAACAATGAATATAAATCTTACAAAATAAAGTTCTCATGTCAAAATATGTACAATTTTATTACAAAATTGACAACATGCAAAAAATACAAAATCAATGAAAACATCCAAAAGTTGCATTGTGCTGTTAAAAATACTGGTTGGTACAAAATGCGTGAGACAGTTCTGTGCCGAAAAGGCAGTTAGCACGTTGCATTGTTCTAGTGGCGGTATGCATGAGTGCTACAAGCTTAGTCACACCTCAAGCACCACATCTTATCTCTCTATACCAAAGGTTTGTCCCATTACTCACAGTGTCTTCTTCATTGTACATACACAGGCACTTTTTTACTCTAACAACCACCAAAAAGGAAGTTAAAACTGACAAATGTTTCAAATGTGCAACTTACTAGTGGCTACAAGTGTTCAAATGCTCACAATAGAAAGATATAAAATCATGAAAACATTTGTAGAAAAAATTTGCTTGTTGCAAAAATACTGCTATGAATATTTGAAAAGTGGCAGTCCTTTGCTGACTGCATATAAAAAATAAATAAGTATATTTAACACTATAGTAAGGGGTTCAACCTGTCTCATAAGTGACATTGTAATTTCACAGCATGATTTATGTGAACAATGGCTTTTGATACACTGAACCTGCCTGTGTATTTTATGGACGTTATTTGGTTACATGAAAACAAAGAAATGCCACTTATTATGCAGTTATTAGTAATAATAAATATAGATTTCCTTCTTTTTTATTCTGCCCTTCATTCACTTCTGTAACTTGGCAGGAAGCTTGAAATGGCACATTGGTGAGACAACTGTCTGTAACATTGCAGAAGTCATTTTTGGCATAGTATTTCTTTACATAGATTTGTGTATCATCACATTGTATTGTATGGCTTCATTTGGTTGTTTAAAAAGTGTAACATGTAAAAGTAGTTGATATGTACAGTTTATGCATTGAAATTGCTTGGTAAAAGTCACTTCAGGTTTTTATCCGTGGTAGCTGTGAATCTGTCATTTCTAACTTCAGTTCACATTTGTCCATAGGTCCATTTGAGCCCCACGTATTGCTTTCTCCATGACTGTCTATGTCATTTGACGCTCCACATTTTCCTGATGGTGACTTGTGAACATCTGTGTCACCCATGCTGTGTATCTCTTCCTCCCCCTCCTCTTCTTCCTCCTTCATCGCCTCCATTGCTCCATCCAGGCTTGAATCGCTAAGAAACGAGTGTGGCGTTTGGGTTTCCTCTAAGGACATATGGGGGTCTTCGGGCTCCCCCAGGCGCCCACTGAAGCTGCCAGCCATGCCCGGGGTGAGGGGCATCTCGTCTGGGTCCTGGTCGGGGTCCTGGTCCTTGCTGCAGTAGGCGTAGCGATGGTTCATGTGCTGGGAGTAGGAGCCGGAGTGGGAGAAGCGTTTGCCGCACTTGTCACATTGGTAGGGCTTTTCTCCAGAGTGAAGCCTGCTGTGCTCGATCAGGTGGTGCTTGTGTTTGAAGGCCTTCTTGCAGATGCTACTCATGTGGACGCTTGCCTGGGAGAGAAAAAAAAACAAAAAGTTGTAGTCAATTTAAAAAAAGTCTGTCCCAGAGAAAGTATTTTATATTGAATGTTTGAGCATCATTATTGTTAGTCATTATTTTGATTGTATGCGTTATCTTTAGCTAGTTTCATTTCTAGATTTTATATATTGTTAGAACATCTAGTATTTTCACCTATTTATTATTGAATTATATTTAATACAAGTGGGAGATGTACAGTATTATATTTCAGTTCATCAGCCTTAGTGATTACCATAGTCATTTTTGGCCAAATCGAGTTTTTAGACTCATTCTGCTTTCCATACCCTGCTGCATCAGTAGGTGTTATTGGCTCTGTCCTCAACCAATCAGAACATTTTTTACAGCCATAAAAACACAAACTGCCCCAGTTATCTTACTGATAAAAGACGTTTATTTTTGTATTTTCCCAGAAACCTTGAAAAATCACTCATTATGCTATGAGGCTAACGTAATTGTTGTTTTGGAAATATCCAGAATTAGAATATTAAATAAATCGTCTATAATTAAAAATTTCAAATTACCCTAAAAAGAGACAGAGATTTGTAAGTGCAGGTATAATCCTCCAGTACAAGGGTATTAAGTGATATTTCTGCATGTTTGGGGTAATTTTATGGTCCAACCATGTTAGTGCTAGACTTGAACCCAAACCAAGTCATTTACAGACACATTTTTGCACATAACCGAGGAACTGTGAAAATATTGTCTGAATATTATCATCAAGATTATGCAAAAAATATGGAAATGTGAATTTTTGTCAGTATTAATAACAACAACAACAACCCCATAGACCTCCATAAACAATCCTAAATAAATATAAAATGCAGATTCCTTACCTGTGTGCTCATATTTGTGCCGTAAAAGTGAGCTGCTCTTCTGAAACGTCTTATCACAGATGTCACAGGCGTACAGTCCTTCTTCAGTTTTCTTCAGTCTTTTCCTTCCTGGTCCTCCTTCACCATCAAACCCATCGTCTATCAGGGAGAGATAGTCCAGACCACCACGGCTTAACATCTCACCCTGAAAACACAAAAGTTAAGTTATCAGTTAAAATCAGTGGTACTGGTACTCAATGTTGTTACTTAATTAAAAGTACAGCTATTGAAGCAAAACATACAAATACTAAAGTACAAGTAAAACTATCACATGAAAAATCTACTTAAGTAAAAGTATTAAAATGCCTGTTTAAAAATGCACTTAAAGAGTAAGAAGTAAAAGTATTTTGTGCAGGTTTAATGAAGCTTAAAATTGACTGATTGTAATACAGATTTGTGCAGAATTTTGTTAAACAGAAACAACAGAATTTATTGAATTTTCAAGCAGTTTTTATTTGTATATTTTTTGTTTAGACTATTGTCAGACTATTAACCTAAAAATAAACCCTCTACCTTTTCAGCAGGTCTCAATTAAGTACAGTACTTTACTACTTTTACTTAGTTACATTCCACCACTAGTTAAAATATAATTAACACCATTTCATTTAGGATAAATTTTTTCAGGCTTACCATTAATGCTTGTCTCTCTTGGTGGATTTTCTTGAGTGCTGCCTCTGCTTCACTGTCCATCATGTATGCCATAGGTGACAAAAACCCAGGACTACTTGCTGGTTGTCCAAACGGAAGCGGGGCGATGCCTTCATGTCCTAATCCCGACTGATTAAAGACCGGAAACGCTCCGTACATCGAACTAGCAAAGACGGGCGTGCCGGGAGCCCCATAAGCCGGATGATGAGGCAGAGGCACAAATGTGGGATGAGTTGGACTTAGTTTCCTGATTTGTTGAAACTCCCTTTTCTCTCCTCTGCTTTTGATACCATTGGGGGTTTTGTTTTTGCTCTCTTTAGGCATGGACAGATCTAGTGGTTCACTCTGGTTTCTGGGTGACAGCAGTTCCGGTGGGCAGTTGGTGAGATCGAGACACGGAGGAGAGACAAAACCAGCTGTGTTCTTCCTGCTCTGAGGAGATGATAGTTTAGGCGAGTTGTTAAGCATTTGAATTGGGCTTCCTTTCTCCTGTGCGGCCCAAATTGGCGGTCTGGAGGACAGCTGAGGTGGTGAGTGCATGGCGACCAGAAGTTGTTGTGGGACAGAGTGCCAGTTGGACTTCTGCGGAGGCGAATTGTTGATGGGAATACCGTTAGCGACTTCGTGCGGTTTCCCGTTCTCAGTTTCCTCACGGTTCATTTTACACAGGTATCTCTCATGCTGAAGGAGGACAGCCACGTTTGGGAAAAGCTGCGAGCAAAATCGACAGGAGACCCTGAGTCCCTCTTTCTCCCCATTGTAAACCTCTTTCTTGTCCTCCATTTTAGAATCTATGTCCAACTCCTCCTCTTGTTTCACTTCCCTGTTTAGCATCTTCTGTAGCACCTGCTCGAATTTGGTTCCAGAGTTGAGATAAGGCAGCAGGGTGGTGCCTTTGAGGATGCTTGCCCTTAACGCTAGCTCTGATTGAGGGTCCCACATTCGCCCCATGTCTACAGGCCTGGGGAAGCCCTTGTGAAGTTGCTTGTTGTCCTCTGGTTTGTCAATAGCGCCCCTCCCTCCGCCTGCAGAGGGAGAGGTCTGAAACGTGGCCTGAAACATATTTGGGCTGTGGCCGTTCAAAGTAGCGCCAGTGGCTCCAGCGCTGCCTCCTCCACTGCTAAGGCACTTTTTACTGCTCAGATGAGAGCTATAAGATCCCGAGTGCGAGAAACGCTTCTTGCAGTTGGAACATTCATATGGCTTCTCACCTGAAATTAGAAACAAGTGGAATATTAGTCAAATGATTTCAAAATACTGTAACCAAATACTTGACTTTTATAATGCTGTTACCTCCTCAAAAAGTTGTGCTTTGTTTCAGTCACACATGTTTGAGTAATCCTGCATTATTAGTCTCTCTACATCTCCAAAGCTCAAATTGCTCTGTTCCACCTTCATTTAGTTGTAGTTTTCAAGTTAACAGCTACCTTTCACCTTTTAGGTTGGCTTGCAGCTCCAGGGCAGAAATTATTCAAATCTAGTGAAAGTGTATAGAGCTTAAAAACACAGTGGTTTTCTGTTTGAGAGAAAAACTCAACGTAAATGTGCAGGTGTTAAAACGTGTGAATGAAACAAGGCACAACTCCAGGTATTTTTTGTGATGAGAAAAACACCATTATAACAGAGATCAGAAAACAACATAATGTGGGGCCTTTAAATGTCATCATGCTCCCTTGTTGAAGTATGTGACTAATTAGCTTGGTAGAGCTGGACACAATGAAGCGTAAAAGTTATTTAGTGAAAGCAATTAAGAGCTATGGGTAGGGAAAATGATTACAGCTTACCACTGTGGATTCGAAGATGCTCTTTGAGGTGGTGTTTGTACTTAAATGCTTTCCCACATTGAAGACATTTAAACTTCCTCGTCTCTGGGCCTTGTTCAAAAGTTATAGCACTCTTGAAAAACAAAAAACATCTTATTAGTTGTGGTGCCGTTAAAAGGATTGTGTAAAGCTGTGTCACTTAAACCACTAATAAATAAGAAATGCTTTGTAGATTCTTACTTTTTCCTGAAGCTGGTTGTGCAGTGCAAGGTGCCGTTCCATCTGTGCCCTGAGGGTGGCAGTGTATCCACAGAGAGGGCAGACCATGGGCCCATCGTCCTGCTCCTGACAGTACTTGATGTGGTCCCTGAGAGCAGTGCGCGGGTACGTCCTGTGGCAGAACGGACAGGCCTGCAGGCTCTTTCCACCATCTGGAAATGTCACAAAAAACATGAGAAAGAATGAGTATTGCATAAAGATTTGAGGTTATTCAGTTTTGCTACTGAATTCTAGTTTTTAGATGTAATGGCACATATATTACTTAAAGTTAGACTAGATCCACAAGGGAAATTGTTTAAAATTATATATTTCTATAATTACTTTATAACTATTTTCCAGTTTTAGTTTTTAGTCATAGAAGCCTGGACATTGCATTATTAAGACTTTGACTCTGAAATGTGTGAAATTTAAAGCTACCTGCTGCATCAGGAGAGCAATGCTGAGCTCCAGGAGACCAGATGGCGGCGGGTAGGTCATCATGGTTACTGTTCTGATGGTACAGTGGTGTGCTGCCATTCTGGGTCAGATGGCCCAAAATACTCGTTGAGTTTGAGGCTCTCCTCAGCTGGGCTAGGAACTCATAGTGTGCCAAGTCCTCCAAGGCATTCTGGGAATCTGAGGTCTTACCTGGAAAAAGCAAAAATCTAAGTATCAAATATCTTGATAATTATCACATATCAATATAATTTTAATTCATTTAATTTCATGTATGATTTCGCATATTGTAATAAATATGTAGTATTTTTAAATACAGTAATAAACTGATGTTGATCACAGAATATATTTTATATATATCTAAGTTAAGGTAAGTTAAGGTTTATATTAACATTTCGTGCCATTCTCACAATGTGGTTTTTAAAAAAACTGCACATTTTAAGTTGCTGAAGATACTTGATAAGTCATTGTGGTTCAACCTCATCTGTTTGAATGTCAAAGAGTTTATGATGAGTACTTATATAGATACCCACAGCACGTACTGCCTATTTAATATAATGCCACTACACTGTTGACTTTGGGTCTGACAGTTAGACCGCTTTGTGTGAACTCATTGTTGGCCACATGTAAAACTGAATTCCTAGGTTTCCTCCTCGTGTCCTTGAGCTCAGTGATAGGCAGGAGACACATGTATGTGAGGAACATGCGGCGCCTCCCATCACTGGCCGCGCCAGTCATCTCTGCTTACAACCACTTTGAGGAAGATTTTTCAAATGTTTACAGATGTTGGCATATTTTGAGCAGTTTTTAATGTGGCGATGGGAAGAGGCTGTGTGGTTTAGTGTTGTAAAAACTCAGCATTGCCTTCATCAGGCCAGGCCAAATCACACCAGGCCAGGGAGCTAAGTGATTGTTAGTAGGCAAGCCGCGTGAGCCTTTGATCTGCTCTAAATAAAAGGGAAAGCCTCACGTCGAAGCGCGCTGATTTCAGTACCGTAACGTCACCTCTTTGATGCATGGAAATATTGTGACATTGTGTGGGATGAGTTCTTTTGTCATGCTTTCAGAAGGCAGCCTTTTCAAAGAGCAGAGAAAAGGAGCAGTGTCTGAGGAAGGCATGTTTTCACATGAGCTGATATGAAGGTGTGAGGAGCGGCTGGGAGCGCACAAGCCGCTTGCATCAGAAACACTGTACATTTGTTTACACGTACTGTAGTGGCCAACACAGCATTCTCCAACAACTATGACCATATTATAAAACAACTCTGATGGTTTTAAGTTTGAAAAAAAAGTTTATATTTACATTGATTTATACATTTATCTAATTAAGACATCCCACTGAGACTTCTAAAAGAGAGAACTGGTCAACACTATACAATATAAACAATCACAAAATATTAATTATTAACAATAGCTTCTCTCGAGAAAAATATAAACATGTCTCATTCACCACACTGTTTACAGTTTTTCACATCGAGTGTTTGTGTTTGTGATTCTGACACTAAAGATTCTGATCTAAGAACAATGAATGATTCATAATACAGATGAACAAAGAGCATATTTGCATTGGGCTTTTTCACTTACGGTACATGCTCCCTGTGTCCTTCTCCTCTGACGGGTCAGTCACAGAAGGGCTCTGGCTGTGTCCTTGTACAGAGCGGAGGGGACTGCCAGGCTCCTCTGTGCCCTCACTGGGTGTCAGGCTCGCCTTGTCCAGGCTCTCCGGGCCCTCATGGGGGTCTAGGCTCCACACGCCCACCTCATCCTCCCCCTCAGATCCCAGGGAGGTCACCTGATCGGCCTCCACTGCAAGAGAACAAATAACAAGAGGTCAGTAAGAGCATGCAAACCGTTTTGGTGTCCCACAGAAGAATGAAACGGTATTTACACAAACATGTGTCTTTCATCTATTGTGGCCATAATGTATGTGATATTTTCTGTAGAAACCCTTTCATAAAGCATGCCACGTGTGCTTTTCATATTATTTAAGGAAACTATTAAACAATAACCTAAATGCAAACCAACCACATTGTGCACAGGATTTTTACACCATACATTTAGGGGAAGTTAAATGTTCCCATTTAAATGCATATCTCACCTATCAGTATGTTCTGTACCTACATGAGATACATGTGGATTTTCCCTTAGTTAAAGCTGTAAGCTCAGAGGTGGATGTGGTTGCTGTGTGTTGCATTTATCTGTGTAGTGTGTACCAATAAAAGCACTCATAAACAGAGCGGGGCTCAAGTGCTCGTTCAGTGCCACATGACTGTTTCCCATGGCACAGACAAGAAATGACAATCACAAACACATGCCCGGGATTTCAGCTGTAGGCTCCGGTTACCGAGGCTGCTTTTGAGGACTCTCTGTTTCTCTTTTGCTGATTGGCAATATCTAATCACAGCCAAGTAATGACCAGTTAAGAGCAGAAAATACAGCCCTGTGCCAGTGGCTTTCATCAAACAAAGCCATTGTCATAGAGAGATCGCTCTGAAGACTTAAGGCCTGTGCCAACTGTCAGAAGACAACTCATCTTCTTGTGTCCGTGATGTAGTGTTTCTAATTAGCAACTAATAAACATCACAACACAGTTTTACTTTAAATACAGGAGATTCACAGCTTGTTCAATGCTACAAAACAAACTCTTAACCCAACTGTCCTAACAACATTCTTATCATATCACAATCCATTGTTGCAGTTGTAATGACGGCTTCATAGTATCCAAAAGAAGGCTAAATGAATCTGACTTGCTTTTTAGATTTCAGAACAGGCAAGGCAAGTTTTTGTATAGCACAATTCGTACACAAAGTAATTCAAAGTGCTTTACAGAATAAGAAAGACAATACAAACAACTCAAAACATAAATAGTCATCATAACATTAACATTAAACAAGAAGAGAGAAGAGTGTGGAATAAAAAGATTTCAGTCATATGCATAGCTACACTGAACAGTTTTGAGCCTGGATTTAAACATAGTCGAAGTAGAGGCCTGTCGCACATGTTCAAGAAGCCTGTTCCAGGTTTGAAAAAAAAAAACAACTAAAATCTTTGTACACTTGACTTATTTTAACCTTTTTCTGTTGACAAAGTTTATATTTGTGAAACCTATGCATCTGTTCATTAGAACTCAGTCAAATCGAAAAGGTTTTCAGTTTGCCGAGGGGCCCACCCGAGCTGCTAACACATCTACAGTGCATTCTAACAATTAGCAAAAAGCATGACACGTTTAAATCAATGAGCACTTGACACAGCCTTACTAATTTGATTTACTCTGAGAATGACTGACTCTCGGTAGGAGTGTTAAACTGGTCATCAAATAACCCAACGGGAGATGGCTATGAAGTTTTATGATGTCTCTGAGGTTGGGAGAAGAAGGTTGCTCGGATGATAGTGCATACCACCAAGTAGAAAAAAAAAACACAAAAAAACAAGAAAAATCTGGTTTAAATTGCCATCAAATTGGCTGTAATTTTCTCCACTATAAGAGTGAGTGACACTGAGCCGATATGCATTGTCATTAAAAGCGCACCGTGTTCTTAAGTCTTTGATTATGTGGTTCGTTGATTTGTTTATTTGGATCGTAGACACATCTCTGAAATAAGGTTTTGTTTAAATCTTTAAAGTTTTATTTTTTTGTACAAAATGTGTGCCTGAAATGTTTTTGAAAAGTGTGATTTATTGTATGCATTTGTTGTATTTTAATACGTGAAAAATGCAAAGGAAAAACTGTTGTTATTTTGCATATGTAGTGCGTGGGGAGGCATTGAGTCATTGTGAGAGAGTTGCTTCATCATGTTTGACTTTGCAGATCGCTCGGGGTAACTATGTGTATTCAGATCAAGGTTTTCCTATTTCCAGATATGTTGGAAATCATCTTGAGCTGAGATGAATGAAAAAAACAAAAACAAAAAACAACATTGTCACCTCACATTGTGATTTTAAAAAGTATTCAAATAGCAACAATTGCACAGAGAAGAGATTACATTACATTACTACTTTACAACATTAAAAAGATAATATTGGTACAAATGTGTTTTTACAGGTAATATCTGCTATTGACTCACAGAAAGAATAATTATCTGGAAATAACTGTGGTTTTTAAAGGACAACAATGAGATGGCAAAATGTTTAACCTTTACAAATATTTTTTATATACTTTACTTACTTATATACTTTACAAATATTTTTTATATACTTTACTTTATTATGTGAGAAATAATTGTAAACCATTTGAGTAAATACACACTTATTATATTTTTAAAGTGGTGTTAAATAATCACAACGTGAAGTATAACAACAGAGTACAAAAATAATATAGCGACTCGTGTGGGAAACTTAAACCCAGCACAGATCTTTTAAAAAATTTTAATAAATAGTAATAGCTAAATTGAATCATATTTAGCCATATTTAAATTCACAATAGTGTAATGATGTGAAGTACTGTTGTGTTGAGTCACCCCTGTGACTGAAAACAAGAGCAGGAAGACCATATAGTGTGTGATAGTGGTACTCTACCTACAAAGCTGCTCGCGGATGAGGTAAGTCCAAAACCCGGTTCAACATGGGACAGAGGAGTCTTCAGCACGTCCATAACAACATGTAATCCAGAGTTGATTTATTTTACAGTCTATGAGGGCTGCAGCCACTCACACCTGCAGCCACCACACCACCACAGCAAAGAAAGGAACAGGGCAGGACCACAGATGCACCACCCACCTGACCCCCGAACTAGGTAAGCTACATGTGCTCCTATAGAGAACGTCATACTGAAAGAATGACAACACTTTCATAATGAACAAATGGTTAATGGTTAATGGTTAATAGTTACTTCTGAATGAGTCAGGCTTAATTAAAGGTCCTGTATTATGCAAAATGGAATCTTGTGGGCTTTAAGTCACGTCATAATGCTGTTACATGCCTGTTTTTGAGGAGGTAATAACATTATAACATACTGTAGATCAGAAAATAGCATAATATGGGTTTAGTTAAAAGTTTAGGGTATAAAATAAGGCTTAGTAACTATTGGGTAATGGTTAGGAGTTGGAGTTAAGACACAGGGTTAGGATATGAAGTAGTTACTGAGATTAAACACACATATAATTATGAATTAAGCCTTCTTTGTGCATTATTAAAGATAATTAGGTGACGTAATAATTATAAAGTGTAACGAAGCACGGCAATACAAATCTCTAATACATACACAGCCAAGTAAATTTTAAGTACAATTTTAAGAAGACATAGTAAACTGACAGTAAATTGGGGATTAAATGCAGTGAATTATATGTTAACCAATAGGAATGTTGATAATGGGATGCTGTGCTGTAATTGTATTGCATTTCTGTGGTTAGCGAGGAGGAAGAGTACACATACTTGTCTAATGATGCTGAAGAAAAACCCCACTAACATTTCGATATGAAAGTCATCCTTCAGCTGCTTACAGATGAAAAAGCAGGGTGCAAATGCAGAGACTGAAAGTGTGACAGGGGGGTGGTAAAGGTCAAAGGTGACTCCTGCAGCGTCTTAAACAGTCAGTGAAACTCAAGGGAGATGGACATAGAGCTAAAGGACACAGTCAAATGGCATCAGTGTGCAGAGGGGGAAACCCAGGTCTCGAAGCGGTGAAGAAGAAACAAGATGACAGCACTGATAATGAACAGAGGTGCCTGGAAACAGTTCAGTAAATACAGTGCTAGGAATGGATTTGTATAGCAGTATTCGCTTGAAGTACGTTACTAAAAATTACTATCTCGATTTATCATTCAGTATGAGAAAGCTCAAGATTTATCATGGGTGCTTTTTCTTTGCAATAATGGGGAGATTTTTGCAATTTTTATCTAATGACATTAAATTTGAGCTATACAGAACACAATAAATAATTGTATTATTGGTTCATTCTGACATTTATTGGTTGCATCTTAGGGTTTTTAATGATACTATCTATTGAAAAGTTGGTTTACTGGTATTATCCTGCGTTTTCTCTGTGACATAAAGCATTTTCAGTATTATCAGTTACTGCAATTTTTCACTGTAGCAAAATCTCGTGCTTCAAATTTTGTTTTCGTGACAGGCATAGTTCTTCACACTTTTCCAAATGGTCAGCCCCTCTGAGTGACAGAGTCAGCTGGAATTAACCAATCACAGTGGACTAGTGCGTTGTTTCAGAAAAATTTCCCAATCAATTAGCTGACATCTACATAAACTGCGATAAAAACTAAATTGTGATCTGGCTCCAACAACTTTAGAGATATTAACACTTTGCGAAATATCACCTACACTTATAATTAATCATAGAATTCTTTAGCTGTGCATGTATTTTATTTCCATTTACATCAGACAAAGTGTGAATGTCCTTTAGGCATGAATGGGCTGTGGACTGATATGGACACCCTTAGATGTCTTCTCATTAGGGGACCAGTCGTCATAGCAACTAAACCAGGACTTCATGATCTCTTCCCTTCAAGGACAGGGCACATGAGAGGAGTCATTGTGAAAGCCCCCAAAACAAATACTGTCTTTTCTATTTGTCCAATGTAGCTTTTTCAATTAAGTCACTCAATGAGAGACACATCTTACAGGCTAAAGTTTCTGAGGAGTTTTGATAGAAACCAGAGAAAAGCCATATTTGCATTGCTGGTTGTTGATCATCTGCAGTGTAGAGTGCGGGTTGAATCAAAGCGATGGCCTCTAGTGCTGTGTACATGTGTGATGTTATGTGAAGTCTTAGACATCTGAAAATCTATCTGCTCTTCTCATCTCTTATCGACACAGCGCATCTATAAGCTCCAAACCACTTCTGCTGAGAGGAGACCTTCCCTGACCCAAGCAACAGAAAATATCAATGATAAAACTTTAAATGAACAAAATGTATTCAAACTTTACAATGTAATATTAGGTCAGTTTGACCAGAATGTGTGCTTCAAGGGAAAAAATAGCTGCGGCACATAAACTCAATTATTCTTGAACCTGAGGTAAAACTAGTTAGTGAATTCCTCCTAATATTCTTTTCATGTTGATATTTGATAGCTTGACATGTACATTGTACAAACACAGTTCCTGTTAGTAAGTAACATGCTGTAAGATCAAACTGTGCCTTGATTTCCTTTTTTTTTTTTTTTTTAACAAATCTATATTTATGGTAACTCTGCAACGGGTCTTGTCAGACCCTCTACCCATCTAGGTAGCCTGAATGAATAACAAAAAATAGCTTGAATTAATAAAACGTATAAAATAAAACACTAGAATTTATAAAACGTATAAAAAATTTAAAAAATCATATGAGTTGAAATGACCCGATAAAAAAAATCTTCTATTGATCAATAATTTAAAATATTAAAATAAGTGCTCCAATAAAAATACTATGTTCTTAATGCAAGTAATTGTAACTTCCCAGGATATTACTTTTTGCAGTGTTGTAATTTATTATCTGTATTTTCTGCAACAGGTAGATTAGAGAAACAAGGTTCTACGTTATATGTCAGCCAATATCAGTGACAAAATCTAAGTGTTTTGTGCTTGATATGAGTCTGTGTCCTCTGTGGTGCACCAAAGTTTTCCACCCATACTTTGCAAGACTATTTTTGAAAAAGTATTCTCATTAGTCGGGAGGTGGTCTAAGTAAACAACAATCAGTTTCTATCTTTGCACAAATAAGCCAAGGTGAGAGTGGAGAGGTGTGCAGTGTCGTTTTGTGGTTTCCTGTGTAGCTGCCGCCTCAATTGTGCTTTTCGTGTTCACCTGTCGATCGACCACCATAATGTTCCATTCACCTCATTTGATAGAAAATTGTTTATTTATTTTTAACCATCACAATTTAGTATTCAGAATTCAACAACTACAGATTTCACAGACATTTGTAATGGTTAATTTAATCATTTGGGGCTTTTTGATTGACCAGAAATCACTAAGAAATAAAAATCAGAAGCAAAGCATGAGTTAGTTATGAATGAAATGGATTGCTCCCTTCTTAGAATAAGCTATCTAGGAAAGGACCATAAATTTCAAAGCATAAAGCTAATGTATAATTTATTTTTTGACACTATTGTCTTTGCTCTACATCGCCATCTGGTGCTGACAATATAACAAATTGGTAAAAAATAAATAATAAATCTCTTTAAATTTGAATTTATACAGGAAAAATACAAGACAAGATCCAAACATAAGATAAATTTGAGTTGAAAGTTGATATTTCCACTGACATTTAACACCATGTCATTGTAGACTTCCCTTTTAGTGAGGGGTGACTCATCTGAGGTGTTGCTGACTCAACTATTGACATAACTTTCTTTTGTTCATGCTCACTGCTCACCTGCTCTCTTGGTGCTGTTACTGTTGCTCAGGTTACGATTACCCAGGTTTATGCCCCTTGGCCGGTCCTGTTTGGTGGTATGGCCTGATCACCACACTGCCAATCCAAACCCAAACTTCACTTCATTAGACGCCTGTCATTGCAAAGCCTCTCACACCACTCTATAAATACCCCCGTCGTCTCCCCCTCCAAATTTGTTTTCCCTCTTTTTTCGAACACATGAAAATGCTCAGGGACCGTTCCAAGTCCTCTGATGTGGCTCTTTATTTTGTACTTTGGCGCAAGAAACCGCACAATAGTGGCTCCTTTTGAATATTAAAACATTCTCGGAGTGAGCACAAAGGTTTCTGAAGTTTTTTAATAGGGGTGCATGCTAAATAAAAACGTTTTTAACGGCAATACAGTGTGGGATTTTGGCTTTTTGATTTGAGGGTGATCCAAAGATTTCAAACCAGAACTGCGCTCCGTCCAATTGTTCTTCTCCTATTAGAGGTGATGATAATAAGTCACAAAGTTACAGTGTAAAATACAAGCTTAAAGTCTCTATAATGAGCATATGAGCTGTAACTGATATATGCATTACTTGAGCTATGCCAGTGGTTAACATACATAAAGAGTGCCATCCTCTGGTGTAAGCAGACATTGCATGGCTCCATTAAAAGCATACTTCACAGTGACCACATGTGACCTTCAAAGAAAGCTTTAAACAACATAGAAAAAAATACTTTTCCAATGTGTAACTGTCCCTCCTATTGTTGCCCGCATTCTTGTATCCACTGTTGACACTTTACGAGCACTGGGAGACAAAAGCAGAAAGTACTCACTTCTAATGCTCCCTTGTGGTTGGATGAACGTGATTAGGTATGAACGCATGTGTGTGATGTGCATGTCACCAGCGCCTTTAAAGAGCAACTAATTAAAGTCAGGAAGAAAAACGCCAAGGCAGCAACCGCAGTTGGAGTATGTGTGTGTTTGTCATTGCCGTCCTGGCCCAGTTAGGAGTGAGTGAAACCTCAATGAGTGAAATAATGCATTTAAAATAAAGGGCTCAACAAAACGCTGGGTTTATAAAGCAAACTTGGGGATTTTAAGAGGATCTTTGATGTGTATCAGAGGAGGAGAGCCGCGCGGCGACTTGGGACAGCAGTAATTTTAAGTCGAAGCAGAGCCTGGCGGAGTGGAGTGGAGCACTGGCTGACTGCCTGCCTGCCTCGCTGACTCTGGGCTTTGATGGCGCACCCCGTTTGAAGTGGTTTTCGGGGGATGGGAGCGGCGTGTGGTGTCAGTGGGACAGGGGAGGTGCTCCGTACAAGAAAAGAGGGGGGCGGATGGATGGTAAGGGGGGAAGAAAGAAAGAAAGAAAGAAAGAAAAAGAGAGAAAGAAAGGAAGGAGGATAAAAATGGAAAGTGAAAAAAAACGTTTAGGT